ATCTTTGTGGCGCCCCCTAGAGTTGTTTTCCCATTAAGGTGATTGAAATCACCACTGCTGGAGATACGGCTCTGTGGCAGTGGAGGGTTTGTAGTCGTTTTTCACCTGAAACCCCCCTTTTTGTTTTTTTGTACATAGATCATCTCTCCTTCTAGGGCTTCTGTGAGGAGCAGCTATGCGGCTCCCTGTCTCTGACAGTGACAGATGAGACAAAACACCTGCTGCATAGAGATCTGAGCTTCTGAAGGGGGGAGAGAGAGGCTTGTCACGAACTGGGCAGCGTTACTTAGCTCACTTGTGACAACCCAAAATGCCTTTCGCCTGTTGGGGACAGGCTGTGAAAAAGAGGTCGATTATTAGGATCTGGCTTAAACACAGCAAGTTTTTGAATTTCCCTTTTTTTTTAATTGTAAATTAAATTCAAACTAAACCTTTCTAAATTTACTGTGGTATATGTGTTAAACGCACAATAAATTACGGTAGAGCACAAATGTGCGAATTAATGGAAAAAGTCAGTACATGCATGACTTCAACATGGAAAGAAGAAGTAATTACTAAGCAGGTTTGCATGCTTCTGCAGAGCTAATAGTATTTACAAGGGTTCTTGTGACCAACCTCATCTGAAGCCCATCCTTCAAAAAATATTTTTAAGTGTGATGCAATATTTAAACACTTAATTTGCATTGGTCACTAATATACTTCCGTATTCAATATTGTTTTTGCCTAAAATGATTAATTTGTTACTGCAGGTACAGCAATTCTATTGGTTGAAATGAAGTGCATGCTTTTTTTGAAGGAAAGCACAAGGAAATCTAATTGTTTAACACTTTCTTTAATTACAAAACATTTGAAATGTGCATAGTCAAATCCTGTTGGCGTGAGAAAGGGATTCTCATTGCAGCACTACCCACAAGGTCATTTTTCCAATGCCTAGAAGTTTGAACCATCTGGAAGCTTTTAATTTTGTTTTGTCTTGATCCCAAATACTTTAACTAGCTGTTGTAGCAACGAAAAAACATACTGTAGTTACACACCATCGTTCTCATTTTCACTTATTTTTGCAATTCTCTGTTTATCCCACTTTGGGTATCTGCAGTCATTTATATGGATTAATAAGAATTGAAGAGGGAATACAGAATATCTGGTTGTTGGAGGTGATATAATTCAGAATGCAACAAGGGCCCAGTGTGGCTCTCATTTAGACTGCAGTCTTTTCCTCTCCAACCTGTTGGCCTGGGTGAGATAGCAGGTGTCTGATCTTATTTAAATTCCTGCACACAAGCAAGAAGGATTAAGTGAATAATGACATTTTTGAAACTCTTTGACTACCTGAATGTAGCAGAAGAGCTATAAATAGCCTAACATCTTCCAAACACCTGTGTCAGTCCTGACTGCACAAAAAGAGCATGAACAAAAGTGGATCTAGACTCTTTTATGTCAGTTTTGGCAGCATCACGTTTGTCTAAACTGCAAACGAATACTGCTACTATTGTTTTCATTTTATGAACTTTTTTATCTCTTTTAATGCTTAAACACTATGACAAAAATAAAACTCTCTAAATAAAAATAAAACCGCAAGGCCTTAACTATGCCAGCAGCAGCATTCCAAGCCTCCACTATCCCACTGCTGACACCATGGGCCCGAGCCCAGTAATAACAAGACAGACTGGGATCCAGTGGTGAGGAAAGGCAGACTTCTTATCTGCAGTAAGACCAGCCAACCAGGTCCACTTCTTCTGCCGAGAGAGGCCCTGATTGGAGTTGTGGAACATGAGATAATCCCATTTAAGGATTCACAAGAAAGTGTCCACAGTGCCACCTGGATAGAGTTGTCCAGGGCACATAGGTCTAACCTCATATGAAACCTTCTAAGAGGAATCAAATACACAGTCTCTCAAACTTAAATGGATCATTTGATGCTGATAGAAGCAGAATTAATATTATTCAAAAATATTGTCAAATGAAAATAGCCTCATCTGTGACACTTAAGCTTTTATTTCGGATAGAAACTGCTCATTAGGGTTTTATTAATAGGAAGCCATTAATAAAAGTAAGAAGTTTGTTTTTGGTAAGAGCCTGTTTCATGAAATATTGGATATAGTGAATAAAATTTCATATCATATCCTTGACTGTGTGGGGAGAAATGTAAATTTTGCTCCTTAACATTGATTTTATATAATGTATTGACTGTGTATTTTGTGGTCTCCACCTCCAACTGCATATTCTGATATCCTGCGATTTGCTAGAGGTTCAATCTTAGTAAGTAACACATGCAAGTCCCCTTAGGCTTCATCTTGAAGTGCTGTGGGGGGGGGCGGGGGATTTTAAGCGAGGTGCTGAGTCGATTCTCCAGGTCTGGAGCATCATGCCAGGCAGCCTCTCTAATTCTGCCGGACTGCTCTGGTCTTCAGGCTGGCTGATGCCACGTCTACAGCACCGCAGCCAGCGCGCACATGCTGGACAGCCTGAGCTGGACCCCTCCGTATAGATCGGCGCGCTGTAGCTTTGCTCTCTGGTGCCGGTCGAAAGATTTACTGTCCGTATCTCATGGACCTGAAACTCCTGGCTGCCGATCATCTCTCCCATGAGACACAGCATATCCATTACAGTGCACCTGCTTTTCAGATTCAAGGCGCACTGCATGTGCCAGCACTCCTGCATCCCTCTGAGCACTAGATCACAGTAGGATTACAGGGAGCGGTCCTGCTGATACCCATGTCATTGGGGTACTTCACTCTAAATGTGAAGAAAGTAGATCGTACATTTAAAACTGTACTGCCCTCTCCTAAGCTAGGAGAGCTACAGTCGCAAGGATATTTCCGTGTTGGCCAGAAGTTCAACGAGTAGCAGAAAGGTCACTGATGGACAGCTGTTGGAGTTTTGAATGCGTGGAGGGTAGGGAGATTTTTATACCATTTAGCTCTTCTGGATTGGTTTCCATCCAAACCCTCTTGAAAGTAACAGATGATGATTTGAGCCATAGGAAACTCATTGCTTTGGTTGTTAATTTAATCCCCTCCCTATGCAATGTTTGGGATGATTTGACATGTGAAATTTCCATGTAAATTTGCCCTTTCAATACAGCTGCATTATAATGCTTTGCTGTTCAGCCTTTTCCTACAGTCTATTGACTTCCCTGGCTTTGAGCCCATAATATGTGCTGAGAACAGAGCTTAGAGTCCCCCCTGTTGGTTTATAACTCTTCCAGATTGCTGGCTAGACTATCTCAGCGGTGGAGCTATTGACTGGGAAGCCAGTGGGGTAGGTCATCTACCCTGGGTCTGATCCTGGAATCGGAGCTGGTCACGGCAACTGCACTTAATTCAGCCTCTCTGTAAGACACTTATTTCTGGTTGACTTCTTCCTCTGTACCAGCGTATCACTAACCAAAGATTTCTTCATGAAGGCTTCCCAAACTGGTCTGCATTTGCATCCAAACCTTCTTTCTTTCTAAAGTAAGTAAAGTGTCCAAGCTTTGGGCAAATTGAGATCATTTGGAGTGGCTATGCACTGATCTAAACTGATATTGTCCTGTGACGGGTCTTAATTGCTCTGTCTTATGTCTTTTTCAAGAAGGCTATTCAGAGTGAGAACAGGCAAAAGCTCTTAAGGTTCTCAGATTTACACGAAAAGGTATTTAATCAAGTGCATTTCATGGGCCTTTTATTGGACTGTATTAATGATTCATTGTTCTTGGTCGTGTTCCTTAAAGTAAGGTAGAAATGGGCTAGTAATCCTTTAGTAATTTACTAAAAGTAAAAAGCTGATTGATCTGACCAGTAGTATTTGACACTTTTAAGCAGGGGCTCTTAGAATTGTACTCATTTATACCTTTCTTAAGGCTACTGCAGCAGTCCACACCCAAGATCTGGGCCCATTTTCTACCCAGGAACCCTAAGTGTCCTGCCAAACATTTGTACCTGAAAGAGAGTATTTGCTGATTCATATCAAGATACTCATTCCTTTCTCATCTCTGCTGGCCTCTGAAGCAGTGGCTACTGCCACAGCTCCGATGTGGGTCCAGGGGAGATGGTTACCAGCTGGCAACGGCAGGCTAGTTATTCTCCTAACAGCTGGAAATGATCGGTTCAATGATGCAGTGTTCATATACTGAATCATCGCAGTCGGTTTTCTGTATTTTAATAGTGTTGCTTTGTGGTGCACCCATAGGAAGCCAGGATCCACTCAGATTTAAAATTGTAACAAGACGAGTGAATGGTATTTGCTGCTTGGATATTTTCAACAGTCTTCAAGTTTTCCTAGGTAGCTGTCCTTTTCTTCTTTCTTTCAAATCTTTCAAGCGTTCAAATGAAGTGCCCCTTCACCTGCTGCCTTGGATAGCGTTTGCATTGCATAACACACGGGGTCAATATGTAATCTGTTGTGCGTGATGTCTGTCGCATTTCTCGACTGCCAAATGGGACATCGACTTGCTCATCCCATGTGTGCTGGGAAAACAAACTTTAAAAAAAAGGATCCGGGAGAATTTGGGAAGTTGTTTAAATAAGTGAGCTCTGACTAGTGTTCTTTCCTATTTGACTTTCTTTAAAATGTCATTAAGATTATAATATTTGCATACACATAATTGCTGACTTCATGGTCAGTCGTGTAGAGTATTTTTGCACTTCAGATGTTAAAGCCCAGGAACATATAATGTATGATGTAATGTTTAGACTTCCTCCTTTGTAGCATTTTAATTTTTAGAAGCCTAGAAATCCATCCATCTATCCATTTTCCAACCGCTTTAGCCAATTCAGGATCGCAGGGAAGCCGGAGCCTATCCTGGCAAGCAATGGGCATAAAGCCGGTGTTTCATCTGAGTAATGAATGTGGAATTAAAATCATTTAATCATTTAAAGGGAGCAACCCAGGATATAGAGTAAATGCATGGTTTCTTTCAGTCTTCTGTGTGTGCGTTCAAGACTCATAGCTGCGTGTGCTGTTCACTGTGCATGTCTTCACTGTCCAGAGAGCTGACTGTCCTGTTCCTTGCGTGACAGGGTGAAGAGGGACCCCCTAGCCTGGAGTATATTCAGGCCAAGGACCTGTTCCCCCACAAGGAGCTGGTGAAGGAGGAGGAGGGCCTGCAGGTGAGTGAGGCACTTCATCTGCACCGACCTGCCAATACGTCCCTGGAAAAGCTTGTTCCTTGGGACCTGACATTGCCTGATTAGTACTCCTTAGTGCATCGTCTGTTAGGCGTCTCTCATCTACCCAGTCCACTGGATGGTCTTGGAATGGAATTGTTTGTCAGCTAGATCATGGGTTATCCTTACAACAAGCAGAAAACGTGCACCAAGTCTTGTTTCTGATTCACATTACATTTTATGCAAAACAAGTTTTAGTGTGTGCATCTGCCTGCAGGGGACCATAAAACACCAGAGAACTAATCTTAAATTGTGCAAGTGTGACTAATCTTACCGGTCTTAGTCTCGTCAGTACTTCCTTGTCATAGAAGCATGCACCTAGCAGAGGTATCTTAAATTCCCAGCCTTGCATTGTGCTGGGGGTTTAAGAATCTGGTTTTGTAAAGCTTTTTAAATCGTGTGTGTGTGTACAGTTACACTGGCTAGCGCACTGGGACAGCCCTGCATTTATTTTTTCCATCAGAATATTTCAGCGCTGCAGTAATGCTGAGCTGTAGCAGTAGAGAGATAAGAAAGGAGCCGGAGATCCTGGGGGCGTGTCTGGCGTCGGGGCCAGGGAAAGTTAAAGCTACCCAGGCACACTCTCCCAGCTTGCCAGAGCTCAGTGCCAGGTGCTGGTGAAAGCCCAGATGACTTCAGTGGCTCAGATTTAGGGCAGTTTATGAGTTTTAAGTCTGACCGTATTTTAGGTGTTATTTTATGAAGTATGTTCACGCAATTCCTCTTGCTGGGAGAAAAAGATTGACCTTTACCACTATCGTCTTACAAATTACAGCCTGTACATCCATTCCTGCTGAGTCATGTCGACAGTAATTTCCAAAAAGACTGTTTCTTTGGAAGAGATTTAATGCCTTGACACATCAGATTGTCTCTTCTTAATGAAATCTTTGTTCTAGGGGAAGATTCTTATATTTAGTCGTGACATGTCAGCAGTCAGATGTATTGGTCCAATGCCTAGAGGATAATACAAAATGCAGGCTCACTTTGTAAGACAGGTTAATAAAAGCTCTCTGAATTGTGCACTTACATCTGAAAATCAAGCGTGTCAAGTGAAGACATGATGAGCAACAGAAGCATTTGCATCAGTGTGGTAGCACACGGTTAAATTCTTGGTTTGTTTCCAAAGAGGAAGAATGCAGAGGAGTGCAAAAGCCTCCATTTGTTGAGGGGGATTGTTGCAGCTGGGCTTGGCAGGGTAGAAGATCGTGCCACCTACGGAGTAGTGATACACGGGGAAAAATCCTGACCCCCGACGATCGCAGCTCGTCTTGTCACATGTGTATCTGGAGCCGAATAGCTGAGGTTCAAGCAACGATTGGGTTTTACTACTGAAAGCCCTTCAGGCCAGAGCAGCCTGAAACTGATGATTGTCATGCCTTCAGAACATTCCTGATTGAAAGACTGTCAGTGTTTCCTTTAGCTTTAGCAAAATGGCTGTTCTAGATCACCCCTACCTTTAGAAGTGTTTTGCCTTGCTGAGATTGACAACTGGTGGCACACAGGTGAAAACTACATACAGCAGCAAAAAGGCTCGTGCCTGAAGTTAAGGTTTTAACAAGCCCCGAGATATGGGAATTTAATCATTGAATACTGTGCTCAGCCTCCGTTCAGTTCAGTTCATGGTCATATGCACAAGTGCAATGAAATGCGTATTTGCATGCATGCTCCAATACAAAGACAAAGACATTAAGGAAACACCAAAAACATAAAACACAGAACAGCAGCAGTAACAATAAGTTAAATAACATAACATCTTAGGAAAAATCACATCAGTGTGAGCCAGTGGTAGGGGTGGAGTTCAGTAGTCTGACACCTTGTGGGAAGAACCCGTCTCTGAACCTGGACGTACTGTATGTACCTTTAAAATTGTTTTAGAAGTCTAACAGTGTGACTCTGGGTGGTATCACAGTCAAAAGAAAAGGTATTGAATTTCAGGCGAAATCCTTTAGGGATGATATTATGTCGACGACATCTGTAAAGGAATAGAAGGTGGTTAGAAAACCTGGTCTTGGAACAGATAGCTGTGAAGAGACCAATGCTGGTTTAGTGAGAGAAGTCCTTTGCAACCTACACATGCTGACGCAGCTACCCACCTGTATGTACCTTTATGCGCTTATAACGCTTACCAGAGGGAAGAGGGGAGAAAAATGAGAAACCAGGATGACTGGTATCCTTCGCGATACTTCCAGCCTTCCTGAGACGGCGAGCTGTAAAAATGTCTGAAATACAGGGGAGCTGTATTCCAATGATGGACTGGACTGACCCGGTCACCCCCTGTAACGCCTTCTGGTCAGACAGCTAAACTGATCTGCACCTGGATTCGCCTGTTATCTGTGTGTTTGGACCACACAGTGGCAGCACCAGAAATCCCAGGGGCCCTAAGTAAGTCAGGACCTATAGCCTTGAACTTTTCAGCTCTTTATGACAGCACCTTGTGACGCCCCTCAGAGAGCCACCAAGGATTTAGGATTTCTCCAGCTACAACTAAGTCAACTATAGTACTGGCTCTCTGGGCCTGTAGAGTCAGAGTAAATTTAACAAGCCTGCCCAGTACAGCGTCACTCACTTATTAAGAAAGCTCTGTTAGTGTGCACATTAGTGAGAGCTAGCATTCAATGTTGTTGGTTTTTTTTCTTGTTTAGAACAGCTGTGGTGGTGTTTTTAATATTAATGTGCTCATTAAAGTAATTGCTTTGCTGAACACACACAGAATATTGCAGTGTAGTTTGAATTAATTTGACATCAATAAACCAAAATCTCGTTTGACTGAATTTATTTTCCAGAGCATAAAACACCTAATAGAAATAGGTTTTTGCAGCCCATCTGAGTGTATTTAGATGCTGTGTTCACTGGGAATTATCATCCAGGGGTTTCCTGTTAAAATGAGGTTTGTAATGAGTGCATGTCATTCTTTATGCTGTGTTTTATGTATAAGGAGTTACCTTCAGCTCCCCTTGTGATTGCCATCAGTCCACAGAGCTTTCTTGCCAAAGCAGAAGAGTTAAAATCCCTTCGGGACCCCTCCTTCCTCAGTCCAGTCATTCTTCCATTAACAAGATGGGCTGCCAGTTCTGTTCTTATATTGACAGTACATGGCCACCTAAGAAACCAATTCTGCAGTGCTGGACATTGTTACAAACACTAAACGCTGAGCTGAGCTCTCAGTACATTCTAGGTGCTGTCATTGTGCAATGCAATAGGTTGTTCATATGCTCATAATATCACATGAAATATTTTCGTTCCCTGATGGCAGGCATCTGCTTCCAGATGCTAAGAAACTACCAATAATGCAACAGACGACTCATCTCCTGGAATCGGAGATCACTACTGAACCAATGCATAGTCTCTAAAATCTGCTCTAAGGTGATTGCACAAAGTATGCCAAAACTGGAGAATCGCCACAAACAAGAATGTTTCCAGTTGTCTAAGAGAAGCTTCATGATTCTTATTTTGAATGTTTAGCATTTAATGCGCCATGGAACTAAATTGCTTTCTGATAGACATTCCCTTAGGACGGAGCTGAAGCCTGTCTGATGTACTAAGGGAGTTTGTAAGTTTAAAGTGCTGCATAGGTGGGATGTTGTTGCAGTTACATGAGATTGCTGTTGTCCTATATTTTTGGTTTTACTTTCTATATGAGACCCGTAATGGCGTATAAGTTGGTGATTGGTCTGTGTTATTTCATTGCTCTGTGTATTTGGAGGCAGGTTAGGTTAACATCTCATCTGCTTAAAAAGAAAGTTTCACTTTGTGTAATGTGATTAAGCAGAGCCCTGATGAGGATCTTTTTTCCTTCCTTTCTCCATTTCTTTGGAATTTCTCTGGCAGTCCTGTCTCATCCGGGTTCATTTGTAAGAAGCCATCCAAATTGTGTTTTAATTGGCACAGGCGGTTGCACATGCTTGTTCCTGGACAACCTGGAGATTTCATGGAAATTCAGGTTAATGTCCGCCCACACACATACAAACAACAAGGCGAGTTGTAGGGGTACGTTCAGCCATGCTGTGCCACACATGAAACAGAAAGGAACCAGCAGTTACAAGAAAAGAAGTGAAGGCTGTTAAGCGAGTAGTAAACCTTTTATTCATGTTTTGAAACCAATGGAAAGGTAGTGATTTTTTGGGGGATAATCCCACCAAAGCTCAGAGTGGCCATAACACTTGGGCTGAATCCATTAAAATGTAAGATATTGGCTCACTCAGTAAAAACCAGTCCAGTCTCTGACACAGAGAGCTCGGTTGTAATGGCTTCACACTGCAGCTGGAAATGAAGTGAATTATAGCATCTGCTAGCATGAGCTTCTGCACGGTTATGAGACCTGAGATCGGGTGTAATTGTGACCTAAAAATAAGTTTGTTTGAAATAACTGCTGCTCATTGCTAGAGCGAGTGTATTGTAAAATTTGTTTTCGAGCTGTGGTTTATGTCGTCGGCTGTTCACAGTGGCTGCTCTCTTATTTATCTTTTGCCCGGTGATTGACAGCTTGGTGAACAGGGCTCCCACTTGTAGTCCAGTGCATTATTTAGGCAGGAGCCTCATCCAAAAACATTAGTCACCTCTGTTTCCCTGCTGCTTCAAGCTGCAGACAGGAAAACGTGATAAAATGTTTTCTGCCCCTGCAGAGGCTAGAACTCTGGCTGTAAGTAAAGCAGCATCACCCTCTGAATTCAAATGTGCAGCTATAGAACCACAGGAACCAGGGCAGTCATCACATTTCTAATGCGACTCATGTTGTCTGATGGACTCCATCCTCATAGTCCTAGAGCACAGAGAGGGGTGTGTGGTGCAGGATCACCTTGCTGACGTCCTGTCCATGCATGTATTCCTTCAGCTGGGCAACATCTTAACAACCTCAGTCTCTGCAGATAGCAGATTCTAAATGTCTTATTCTGGCAGAATGTGAACAATGTTTTAATCTGTCATCTCCTCAGTAAGTTCTGTCCTTGTTTAAGGTCTCTGAAGACTCGATGTTGCTGGTGAAGCCAATTAAACCTCAGCCTCTTAAAAATCTAAAATGCTAATGTTTTCTAAATCATTTTGCATACAAAGTTTGGTTGTATTAATGTGAAGCTGAGAAAGGGGGGTCTTTTTTAAGATGATTTTGGTGTACAGTAATATATTTACTATTTTTACAGTACACTAGATATATTGTAGATTGTTTAACTTGTGATTGTTTTGATCTCTTTGACCTTGCTTACATTACAGCAGCTTTTGGTTTCTGTTCATTTCAGCACAAAGTTGGTCATCCTTGTCTGACACCTACTTTTTCTTAAGCGCTTTTGGTATTCTTCAATCCCCCGGTTCTTTAAAAATTAAGTGGTTGAAGGCGTGAAATTGCATATACTGCAAAACTACAATGGCTGGTAGTAAAATTTGATTGCTTTCCCTTACTGCTTTCCCAGGTAAGATGTACTACCCAATTATAAAAATGAGTCCTACAAGGGCAGGGAGACCATGATTCACTCATCTGTAAGAAATTTTAGTAAATGTAAGTCATTATCATTGTGTGTAGTTTTCTTGCTCAGAACTGGTCTTCTGGTCTGGCTGTAAAAGATGAAAGTGGAGGGGTGTCACTGGAGTTACTGGCAGCCCATGTTACATTTGTATGATCCACGGAGCCTTGCTAGATCACCACGGCACTTTTGAAGGATGAGTGGCACTCGAATAAGTTGAGAGGAGATTTTGGCATCCTGCTGGCAGCCTGAAACAGAGAATTGAGGCAATAGGTGTTAAGTTTAATGCTTGCATTTTGGGAAGAACAGCTTGGCCAACAGACGTTCCTGACATGATGCATCACCTGCATTCAGCAATTTTATTGATGAAACGTTTGCTTTAGATTTCACGAGGAACGATGCCCAGTGAAAATGAACAAGAACACAAAGCTCTTGGCACTTTTTAAGCTGAGACAGATTTCTGGAAGAAGAACACATCGTGAAACAGTAGCGATAACGGTGGTAATTTAATAAAGAAAATTTCATACGAAACATCACTGCTGAATAATAAAAACTCTGGGGGGGGGGGGGACCATAAATTAATATTGTATAAACAAAAAGGTCAGGCAAAATGGGTCACTATACAATTACAGAACTTGTAGTTCATCACCGTAGGGTGATCAGGGGCACCTTCTGTGGGACCTGCTGTCCTTCGGGTGTGACATTAAACTGTGGAGATGGCACCGTTCACAGGATTGGGGGTGCAGGGGTGTCCGGTCCTGGAGGGGAGCCTGGTTTTCACTCCCAACTCTGCTCTGAAGGAGCTCAACCTGCTGGTGACCCCTCCTCCCAGCTCTGGGCTCATTAGATCAGGATCCTGTGGTAGTTGTACAAGGCTGAGAATCAGGTCAGTACAGCACAGCTGGAGTCCGAATGAAGATCTGAGCCCGTTAGACCCAGCCCCTGATGTTAGCTGGTGTAAGGGCCCTGCCAGGCCCCAAAGGGGTCATAGTGGTAGGCCATGAGATGCTTATGGGATCTCGTGAGTTAACAAACTCACTTTCTTTATTCATAAAGAATGTCTGGGAGACCATTGCTTTAAGATAAGACTTTGCTTTTTGCATCTTCTTTGTATCCATGTTTCAGGTCCACCCACTCATTCCAAGTGTACAGGGAGGAATTTCATCACTGCTGTATGAGGCAGCACTGACAACCAACAGGAAACTAGTATTTTAAGGGAATGCTTTCTTTTTTATTGGAGACTCTAAGCATTAATGGTGGAAAGAGTAATAGAGAAGAGTTCCATAGCAAGATTAGCCCCTATATCAACATACAGGCCCAGGACAAAAACAAATCTGCCTTTCTAGGGGGTTTCCTCAATGTTTTCTCCTCATTCCTCTGCTATCACATGCTTATCAAATATTTATCTTTCAAACATGCTTGGAATTCGAAAGCAGCTGAGCATGGGTTTACTGGGAGACAGACGGATGATGAGTGTCTAAAGATATTGGTCTAGCTACTGCTATTTTTTTAAAAAAAACACTGGGGGATCTTTCACAAGGATTTCAGAATATGTTTACTCTGGGCAGAGTAGTTTAGGCTCCGAGAGCATCTGTCGAAGTTACGCGATGCGTAAAAGAACTTGATATGTATTGGGTTCTTGTCAACCGCGTTAAACTGAATGTATTAGCAAAGTTAATTTAACCTGTCTTTGCCACCACTAGGAGCTAAGTCAAATGTTGAAAACCCAGCAGCTGATTTTATTTTAGTAACGAAACAAGTCAGTTGTTAGTTTTTGGCAAGCCAGTGATGTGCATTGTAGTTATGAAAGCTGCAGATATTGGTGCATGTATGGTAATAATTGCCCTAATGTGGTAATTACTTTTCATTGTCATTGGGGTGATGTACGGTAATTAGTGGAGTACCACAAGGATCTCTATTAGGACCAAACCCTTTCCTAAATTATAGCAATTAACTCATTTGATTCTGGGATAGTTAGTAAACTGTTCAAGTACACAAATGATACCGGCAAGAAGGATTTAGAAACATTGTATAACCTGAAAGGGAAATCCAACAAAATTTTGACCTAATTCAGAACAGGGCCACCACAATAACACCTGGTAGGTGGCATTCATTATAGAAATGTGTGAGGTGCTGCATGCAGCTCAGAAAAGCTTAAATTACAGATGGTAATTGGGAAGCAAACTTGAAGAGGGTACTTCTGAGAAAGACTGGGGTGTTTGTTGACATATCATTTTCATCTTCCAGCTAATATTCAGGAAGCCATAAAAAAAACTGAAGCCCTAAAAAACTGTTGGGAAATTAAATTATGGAATGTTATGTGAAAAGAAGGGAATATTCACTTTTGTGTTTTGCATTCCTACAAGAGGTTTTGCTTAAGAACTGTTTCGGATTTCTGAGAACTGCCCTCCTGATCAAATGCGGCACTGTGCATTTTCAATCAAAAAAGTCCTGCCTGAACTGATTAGGATTTAAATGTTTTCAACAACCTGGGATTGGGCCTTAGTATAAAGCCCGTCACGGAGGACTGCTGTTTTGCAAGCTGACTTCTTGAAAGACTTCCCTTGCCCTGGGGCCTTGTGTGCCAGACCTTTCCACACAAACGTTTGCCCAGCAGAAATGCGTCACTTTTGGATTCTGTTATTGAGAATTTACAGGGAGACCTCGCAGTTCGGGAATAAGGATCTCCCAGTCAGCCCAAGTCAGGTCACTTGAGCAAAGGAGTTGTTGCGGTCTTTCGTGTTCTCGCTATATGTATATATATATATTGCAATAGGGGCACAAAGTGTTTTTCTGCTCCTTTACCGTGTGTTTCTTTCTGTTCAACAGAAATCCAAGTTAGATATGCAGGCCTGCAACCAGAAAAACTGCCTCAAATCAAAATCGCTCTGTTTCTGTGTCAATAAATGAAGAAGTATAATAGGGTTTCTGAATTGGCTGGCAAATGGATGGGGTCTCTTGTTGAAATGTGCTGTTGTCATGTTACCCAAGTGAAGCTTTGCACTAAGGGGGTTGTTGACGGGATAATTTATCCATGTAAGTAAACCTGACGGGAGTGTCTTGTTTTTTTTTCCCCCCGATATTTTCCAGGTGCCATTCCCAGTTCTTCAGGGGGAAGCAGCTGAGTACCTGGGGCGTGCAGATGACGCCATCATTGCCATGTCGAATTACAGACTTCACATTAAATTCAAGGACTCCGTCATTAATGTACGTACCCTGGCCCTGGTTTACCCCACTCAGCCTTTTTGCAAGCCACTTGCTTCAAATCTGTTGTTTCTTTGATCGGCCTAATTTGGGTGTTTATTTTCCATTATTTGGGAGAAAAACTTGATTTAAAATGCTCTTGTAAACCTCCTTCTGTAAACCTACCTTGAGCCCATCATTGCATGATCAAGTGGAATTCCAGGTGGTCAAATTGAAATAGCCATGCGCAACGGTTTAGTCATAACAGTTGTGTGCCTTGGTCCTGACTTGTCTGAGCTATTCTGCAAGCTGGCACTGCTTAGCAATTTGAACTGTAGAGCCCTTGATTCAGTGGTCAGCTCCAGTCCATTTGAGACGAATTTGCGATGCATCATTAATCATTAGTATGTTTTCTGGAAGCTGGCATCTTGCTAGATCTGAAGTGACAATCTGCTTTTTTTTTTGCGGGAGCTTTGAAATGCATCTGGTACTGTAATTAGGAAGCCCTCTGCACTCTGTATCAATTTCTCTTGCATTGTTACTTACATCACAGCCCAATCTAGGGTGCTTTTGAAGTATAGCCCAGCCCAGACATTAATTCCAATGTATCCTATTTTACATACAGTTAATATAAGACATAAGTTAATATTATTTTAACTTTCATTGTCACAACGCAAGTCTCAGGGTTATTCATGCCATCACTGTTTGTTTACAAAGAATAAATTTGAGGTCCAGAATAAGTTTTAAATTATGAAATTTAAACACCTTCAGGTATGAACGATATACATGTGTGCTTTTATATTTTTCTGCTGGTCTAGGTTGATGAATCCTAAAACATCACAGTACATAATGCCTCATGCTGTATTTATTGCAAAAACCAATCGCTGTGCATTAATTCACACCCCTATCCTCACCCTCCATTTGTTAGAATCACCAGGGAAATAAAACACTAATGTTGTCCTAGCAGGTTTAGCTTGTACCAAATGTATCTGGGTGTGATGTTAGCATAGATTCTCCATTTTATAAAGGTTCTGTCATGTTACAGTACATGCAGTGCCTTTGTTCTTAGCAACTGATCTCAAGCTATGTATTTACTTCAACACTATACACAGTGCAGAAAATAACTGCTTCATGCAGGCATGGAGCTGATAAGTATATATTGTTTGTAGAGGAAAGCAGTGAGTCAGTGGTGTGAAGTAGGCAGAGATGCAGAGCAGCCAGGGAGATGAGTGTACCAGAGCTCCAGGCAGCATTTGTCCGCTAAGTAGACTAAGACAGTCAGAGATGGGGCTTTGTTTCCATCTGTTTCTCAGAATGAGCTTAATAATTCAATTTCAAAGTGGTGAGTGGTTGTAATCTCTTGGCAGGACCACATCCCTCTGCTATGACAAAGGTCACAAACTGTCTGATCATTATGATTTACTTCAAAAGATGCTGTATATACCCCTGAAATGCAGCCTCTAGCAGCTGAAACAATTTCAGTAACTGCAGCTTCCGTTCTAGGACGATATGATTGCTGTGGACCTGTTCTCCAGTAACAGTCATAGATTGGTTTGGTTCTCTGCAGTTCATAGTTCAAAACTCTGCCTCCAGGGCAAACGTTCTTTCACATCTCTTCCAGCTGACCTTTAACCTCTGTCCCAGTAGCAAGTGATGGCTAACGAAATGGCAGAAATTCTCGTGGTTTGCGTGAAATATCGCTGTACAAATTCCATCTTTCAGTAATGGAGACATGCTCAGCTGTGCAGTGTAGTACTAACAGTTGGCGCAGTGGCCATGCCAGTAGACACAACACTACACTTGTCCACTTGGTGACAATGCAGCTGAATGATGGGACAAGACAGTCATGTCCTGAGACCATATCTTCATTGTTCAATAAAGGCAGTTCCACTTCTCTCTCTCTCTGTGCTTATACAGGTAATAATTGGGATTTTCTTCCCAGCACAAAAAGCTTTTGGATAATTAGTAAGAAGATGCAGAAATGCCACACCAGTAGGTGTTCCACTTCTCTGTTCTCTGTAAGCCCCCTTGTGCTTGTGAGGCTCACGGCTGGAGCTTTTCCCGGAGCTAAGGTCTTGGGCTGGAACAGAAGGGTCGAGGCTGGTCTCCCTCTGGGATGCCAGCCCGCTGCAGGGTCATGGACAAAGGCACACTCTCAAACAGCCAGTCAGCCAGTCAGTAGATCATAGAAAAGACTAAAGAATGTTTTACAAGTCATATCACTAGATGAGTTTTCCATATACCCTTCCTGGGTTTGGCTTGATTTATTAAGCTCTTACTTGTTTGACCCTAACAACCCAGCAGTTGTTTATTGTTTAATTGTTTTAACTCTTTAGAACTCATTAGAGAAGGCTGAAGCCTTTGACAAACAGAACTAACTTTCTTCTTGGTCAAAGTGCTGGGAGTTCAGGAGGTGTACTAGCATTGTTGAGTTCGAGAGTTGAAGGTATCGATGGGGGATGGACTCAATAATTTTTTAGTTCTTTCAGCTCCCTTTTTCATTTTATTTTGTGTTCAGAATTGCACAGCTGCAAATCCTCCACATTTTATTTCAGTTTAGATTCATCTCAGCTGAGTTTTATCAGCATCATGATTGCATGTCTCTCTGCTTATTCAGCTTGACCTGCCTTTCACCAGCTTTCACTTCCTGCTCTTCTTTATTTTGACCTTTTTGTTTAGCATTTTCTCCCTTTTTCACTGTGCTTTTCTCTCCGTTTTCCCTGATGTGGTGTTTGTAGATCTTTCAGCAGGGGGTGGACAATGAAATATCAGTGAGTACTCTGCACATCCCTTTACTCTGAATCCTGCCACGCTTCTCTTGCAAGCATTCCTGGGTTAATACTTACGGCGAATACTTAAGCTTCTCCTTTGGTCTGGCATGAAGCAGTTATGTGCACTGAGCTAGTTTGGAGTGGTGGAGTGGCTGATCTTTGTGAATCTGCCAGTTATGTTAAAGATCAGCTCTTGGAACGTGCCGTGCATGAGATCTATAAGCAAGCAGGGAAATTTGTCTGAGGTGTTCACTTTCAAAAGTGTGACGCCGTGATTGTCAAGCGGCCCATCGAGGACTAGTGCTGGCACGGTGTACGGATTGATCTGTGTGGCCCAAACATTGAGGGTTCGAGCCAGGGTCACTGAAGCCAGGATTCCCCGAATAGTGGCTCTTAATTGCTCAAGTACTAGTGGTACAAGGCGGGAGACAGTCTTTGGGACTTTCAGTAAAACAGTATCTCCAGGTGAGTCCCTGGGCGGCTACAGGCTTTCAGTGACATCGCTTTAAGAAGTGCTGCTCCTCCAGATGGCTTTTACTCACCTGTAATGTGCTGTGGAGCTTGTAGCATTTCAAAAGATGAGGGGCTCTGAGAAGTGAGTGTCGCAGGAGGATGCCTGCATGTCTCATTCTCACCCTAGCAGGTACAGTAGACGGTGCTGGAGAGACGAGTCTAAAACAGTTGGCCATTCCAGATTGGGCGAGTTTAAGAGATCATAACATACAAAATGTCTAGTTATACACAAATATTGTAGCAGTGCTGAGAGCACGGCTTCTTTAGAAAACACAGCTGCTACAGGCTCAGGCCAGAATGAGAACAAAACATTGGCTCACCCAGGAAATCGCAAACCCTGAGCTTGCTTGCAGCTTTCTACATTCCTGCTGCTGCTTCCCAGTGGAAGTCCACCATCACATACAGGTTTTAGAATTTGGTGCTGGTAGGTGGTTTGTATTCTTTTTACGGAGAAGTACAAAATTCCGTTTTTTTTTTTTAATTCTGTTGCTGAATGAACCTTTCCTGTGATTTTAGGTTTTAGGAATTCATATTTGAAACCTAATATATTTCACAACACAGTTAATTCAACTAAATCAGCTTCTTATTCTGTTAGGCCTTTGTGCCCCACACTGACTATGCTGTCCCCTTCTTGGAGTCGTGGTGAGAACTTCAAGGAGTGTCCTTCAGATGCTTCGGATTAGCGTTCAGAAAGCTTTCACTGAGCCTGCCCGGGAGGCTTGGCCCCATTGATCTTCTCAACTGGTTACATAGTGGATATAATATAGTCTTCCTCCCGCTCTGAGCTGAGAGTCGCAGCCTTGAAGGAATGCCTGTGCCAGTCAGGAATGTGAGCAAGTCAGTGCTGTAGTGACTCTGGCAGATGAATCTTCTGCCGAGTTCCTGCTCCTAGCTGTATGCCCTTTCTTTTAGTTTTCATGCGTCCTCCCTTCCTCCCACATCTCCCTTGTTGCCTTCACCACATCACACAAAAGTGACCTCTGATGTCTTACTTGACGAGTCACAGGTGTCTTCTACTGTCCCTGCATATTATGGAATGAATTAGGTGATAAATTGGTCAGTGGTGAGACTCTAAAATCTGGCTGTCATTAGTAGAATGGGTCTAGCGAGGCTGACTGTGGTGTTCTGGCTGAGTTTTCAACTGGCGTCTGAAGGTGGGGGACAGCTGGGATGTTAACAGATGTTTGAGAAAAGTTGCAGCCTCTTGCAAAATCCCCAAGAACAGGAGATGTAGGAAAAACAAAAAAAAACATTGGTCAGGGAATCATCACAAAGTGGGAATATGAGAATCGTAGACAACTAAAATAATAGCCAAGCAGTTTGAGATTGCAGTTTCTTTTTTTAAGCACTGTGAAGAAATTCAGCTAGGTTTTGATTCCAGTACAGTCTGCCCTCCCTGCCTGCCGCCAGCCCTCCCAATCTTGTCACTGCGGTAGGCTACCCAGAGCTCAGTCCCTCCTGATGCAGCAGGCCCACACCTGATCGAATGACTCCTCTGCCATCAGGTGCCTCTGAGGTTAATCGAGAGCGTGGAGAGCCGGGACATGTTCCAGCTGCACATCATCTGCAAGGACTCCAAAGTGGTCAGGTACAGTCTGGGTGGCCCGCAAGCTTGCAGAGCATGGGGAGGAGAAGGAAGTTGTGGGGTGGTGCATAGCAACCACTCTTGCAATGAGTGTGGTGCTGATGTACTGTACTCCTTTATACACAGTGCTGGAGAAAGATGCACAAGGCATTGTGGTCCAGTGGCTAAAGGCAAGTGAGGTTCCTGGTTCAAGTCCCTGCTGTAGTGAAAAATATGACACCCTGCCTTCCACAGGGAGACAAGATCCTTACTCTCAGTCCTAAGGATGAATCTGGGATCCTACTGTAATTATCTGTGCAGCAGGCAGGTTTATAGGTGGTACTTGTTTAATCTGGATACACACTCAAAAATTGTTTCTGATAAGAAACATTTTGAACACTCAGTTGTTAGAGTTATGAACCACGCATTGTAACCCAATGGAAAAAACAGCTGGCAGACTGCTGCTCCTAAGTTCTCTGATTCGACACATCAGTTACCTGCTTCCTACAGTACTTGCAAATCTCAGATCCTCAGCTTTGATTTCTGCAGATAAGAGAAGCAGGCCGCCGACTAGGGAAGTGCTGTGACACTGCTTTCTTCAGTGTACAATAGACCCCATGTCTGCTTTGTGTTTTTTTTTAGTGTCTTCCAAATCCTCAATGGCAGATCTTGACATATTATTTTATGTAATTCAGAATACTTTTTGAATTGCTGGTGTTCTTGTCGACTGTTCTAACAGTTCTGAACTTTGTAAGCATGTAAAATATGGACAATTCAGGTTTTATCAGTGAGAAGGATCAGTGCTTCCTTGCCTAAAAACAACAATATTTTTGCAAGTGGGAAGTGTTCTTTTGGTGGGTATTGTACAGTTCAAGTTTCTTTTCAGAAGCTTGAGGTATCCATATTACTGTACAGGAGCTTCATGAGATTAATGTGCTCTACTTGTCTGATCACACATGCACAGACAGAATAACCCACCTTGCTATATTTTTGCCAGGTGTCACTTCTCCACCTTTAAGCAGTGCCAGGAGTGGCTGAAGAGGCTGAACCGGGCGATCGCCCATCCCTCCAGGCTAGAAGACCTGTTTGCCCTGGCCTACCACGCGTGGTGCCTTGGGGGTAGTGCTGATGACGAGGATCAGCATGTGCACTTGTGTCGCCCAGGTGAGGACCACCGCAGCCCCCTCCGCCCCCCTCACACTCCTCTTCAACATGCAGGCAGTGTCACACATTCCTTCTCACAGCTACATGCATGATTCAGTTCTAAAGCAAACAAAAGGTTCCAGAAAATCTGAGGGTATTGTTTGCACAATGACTTAAATCAGGTTGGGATATTTTCTTACAAGTTTATTTTAGGGCCCTACCAAATTCCTGATTGTGAAAAATGTGACACAGGCCATGTGAAAATCTCACCTACACCTCCCCCATTTGTGTTTTGTCTTATTGTTGTGGTGTATTCACCAAAGAAGCTGCGATTTGTCATATTTTATGCTTTTGGAGGTTTCATTTAAAATAAGTTAAAACTAATGATCCCTCCCCTTGATGAACTGTTCACAAACCTGGGAGAAACTAATCTGAATGTCCACAATAGATCTTAATGAATCTAATGTGAATCAATAAGTACACTGCATCATGTGAATGAATTGGTAAGTCATATTTAGCATAGTGAAGGTGACATAAATCATGTGTTGTGGAAAATATTATTTTTTCGGCCTGTAAAATCATTGCTGTAAAAGTTGCTACAGAGTGCAGGATGACCACCTTGCAAGGCTAGTTGTGAGCCGTCTTACAATTCTATATAACTAAGTTGTGCTTAAGTACAGACCGGTCTGCTAATGGGCAGAGAGGGTGACAAAAGACTATTGCAGGGTGCTACTTGATCACCCCATGCTGACATAAGAAGGCCAAGCCATGTGTGAATACTGTTCCATCTAAATGAGAATTGACACAAGAAAATAGTGGTCTGTTGCTTGAAGTTAAAAGGCTTACAAGTTTATTTTTTGCTATTTTCAATTTTATGTTCATGTTTTGTGTCAAATCTGTGAAGTTTAAATATCATATACTAGAAATTCTTAGCATTTTGAAATTTTATAACCATGAAATGTATTCTTATTTGCACAGTCAAGGGGTCTGCTACTTCATTGTTGAGGATTGTTCCTGTAGGAGCAGCCCGGTGCTAGCTACTATGAATGCGAATGCTTTCTTCCAGGTTATTGTTGGTTAGAAGAGTTGAAAATAATGCTAATCATCTGTAGGTTTGTGTAGTGTTGATTGTGAGGAGCTGCATACACACAGACCCTCTACAGAAAGGTGGAAGCTTTGTCAAACCCATCGATTGTGTTTCTTGTGTCTGAAGGTGACCACGTCCGACACCGGTTTGAGATGGAGGTGCTCAGAATGGGCTTTGACATGCAGAATGCCTGGAGAGTGTCTGAAATCAACAGCAACTACAAGTAAGTGATGGGCACAGCTCTGATTTCCAATTCAAGGAGGCGAGGGGATGAAACGAAACAAACTTCAGGCCCTCAGAACAGTCCTACAGATATGTAAAGCCCTGTTTTAAAAGCCTGTAAAATGCTTTGGAGTGATCTTTTCCCCTCATTTTGAAAGGTTTGAAAAAGGACACTGGTCAGTGACTGGGGCTCGGTCATTGGGATACAAACTTTTAAAGCAGGGATCAAGCAGGTCAAAAACAGATTGTTATTTTGTATTTGTCTTATTTTTTTGTTGATGGCAATTAGAGGTCCCTCAGTCCTAAAGAATTGCAGCCAATTTTAACATAATGGTAGAAAGCAAATCTATTCTGGGCAGTGCTTTGTTTTAAACAGTTTGTAAAGTAAATATGCGCAGAGCAGCAGGGGATCTCAGACACATTGTTTAGTCTCCCCAGAGGGTACAAGCTCATCTGCTGGGGTATAATTAGACCAGATCATGGTGTTCTGTACCTGCAGGAGTTACTGGAGTAGTATACCTGCTAGAGACAAATAAGTGCACAGCAGAGAACAACATGCAATGGTTGAGCTGTTCCATTAAAAGGAATTTACCAAACAAAGCTGTAAAGTTGTCCTGCCTTCATCAGCTTGTGTTTTCAGCGCATCCCGGGTTTCAGCCCTCTGCTTGATTTATTTTTTTCATGAAGGAGAGCCTCCGTGGGTTTTCTTCTTTTCGTTTGCAGTTTGAATTAGAGTGCAATTGAATATTTCTCCCCTCGATTGACCCAGGGTGCGATCACACGTAAGGAGTTGAGCTCTTAATGAGCATGTCCATGAGCAATGACTTCTATTGGCAGGAGGATGAGGAATGGAGCCCCAGAGAGACCGATCCTTTGTCTTTCTCTTATACACACTGAGTTTTATTTAAGAGATAAAAGCCTTAATTACTTAGTCACCGAAACTGCTTAGGCAGAAAGCAATGGTCCAGATACTAATAATCTATCACATTGGCTTGTGATGGGGCTGAATCCTCTTAGATGTTTTAGTGCCCGTTATGAAATGGGCATCTGACATTTCTCTTTCGGTCTCTTGCTTGGTATGAATAAATGAAAATCTATTACTAGTACAAGATCAAACATTCTAATGGGTCTGTTTACGCACAAAGCCAGGCGATGAATCCAGATGAATATGATTGCTGAAGATGCAGTTTACTTAATTTAAAATTATTAAAGATTATATTTCAGTACGAAGCTTTTAAGGCTCTTATCCAAGACATTGATACTGGTATGGCAGTCTTCCAAAAAAATGAAGAATTGCATTGTCTGATGCTATTGCATCGTCTGTGAGTCATTTGAAGTTTACATTGATTTTATTCTTTATTTTGTTTTCTTTTCGCATTTTAATTTAATTTCAAACAGCTAGAAACTTTTCTTTAAGCTCAGAAGCCTAATTCTTGTGTTGCTCAATATTTAGTGACCACTAACGGGTCCAAATATTAGATGCCATATATGATTTTGTGTATTTTCTCCACTGCGCTTTTCCTTTGGAATTCGAGGAGTGGTAATTCTTCAGGAACTACCCAAGTGTGTAAAATAAAAATAAGGATTCCTTTAGTCATTTGTCCGTTTGTCCATTCTGCTGCTCTTTTGTTCGGCAGGCTGTGCTCCAGCTATCCCCAGAAGCTGCTGGTCCCTGTGTGGATCACGGACAAGGAGCTGGAAAGCGTGGGGTCATTCCGGTCCTGGAAGAGGATCCCAGTAGTGGTGTACAGGTCAGCAGGGCTGCACAAGCTTCTTATCAACACTGTTAGCGCTGCTGTTGCCGATAGCTAAATCCGAGGCAACTTAGAATTGATGTACTGCTAAATATTGACAGTGGGATTGAAAAGATCCGTAATTGTATCAGAAAAATATAATACCACGTAATTCAATGACTAAATGTCTAAAAATTAAAATGCTACTGCTTGGCTTAAAAACTAGTCTGTAGCAACTGCAGTGCATTATATTGTACCGTACGAGGAGTTGTGCAAGACAATGTCGAAATAAAATGTGGTTTCCAGAGAACGGATTTACAATAGATTCTGGCCCCTTTTACCGCTGCCACAAAAAACAGGTCATTACTGAGATAAATGTGTTTTTCTGACCCAATTTATGACATTTTCCAAATGGCAACTGTGTGAGAACAAGTGAATGCACACCTGCAGTGCATTTGAACAGAAGACATGGGCCTTACTGCCTTGGTTCTGTGCTACATTTGGGTGCAGTAGAACTGCCCGTTCAGCAAGTTAGGCCCTTTTCTCGTTAAAAAACAACAGCCACCCATTTTCCAGTCGTATAACAATACACTGAGTTTGGTAAACAACGTTCACAAAATATTATAACGAGAATGAAACACAAGCACCGAACAAGAACAAATGCATGAAGTAATATAGAAAGTGCATCTAGAATGCACTGTGCATGTGCCGTGATTTGTGGAAAAATAAGTCGCCGGTCTAAAGTAAGCCTGAGGGTCCGCGCGGTTGTGAAGCGGTACCTCACGAGTTGGCGTTGTTGCTCTCAGACATCAGCGGAACGGCGCCGTGATCGCGCGCTGCAGTCAGCCGGAGATCAGCTGGTGGGGCTGGAGGAACACCGAGGATGAGTACCTGGTCACCTCCATCGCCAAGGCCTGCCTGCTGGACCCTGGGATGAGGGCACAGGCCGCCTCTGCCAGCCGGGGCCAGGGCGACGGGACGGACAACTCGGACGGCGACTTCGGTAAGTACACCCCGGGGACCCGGGTCCTCCGGGCTGGCTCAGCTGGTGAAGGCGCTGGGTGTTGAGGGTTCGAGGCTGGGTCAAGTCATCAGCGGGATCGGCTGGCCAGGGCTCTCTCAGCTCGCGACAAACCCAGTGACCCCCCAGAGGCCGGTCAGCCAGGGACACGTTGCCGATACAAGGCTGTGCTAAACGTGTTAAAAGACGAGTAGCTTGTAGAGGTCTTCCTACACTGCCTCGTTCTCCTCTGTGTGCGGTCGCCGGATTCACAGCACGTACGAAAGCACCACATGGGATTCTGTTTTCACAAAATAAAAGTCAATGGCAATTTAAAACAAAACTGAGTAACAGAATAATGCAAGGTATGTAACTGAGAAGACTTTATGGTGTTGGCTTGGACTTGATGGTAAAGGGCCTCATAGTAGAGACTCCTGTAGAATCACATGCAGTTTCTCTGACAGTACAAAGTATTGTGGGACATTTGGACATTTTTTTTACATTCTGAAATGGCTTGATTCAGTAAGCTCAGAGGTAAGATAATTTATAGGCCAGCCAATGTGTCAGCTGTTCACTGTACTCCCTGTATACCATTACTGATCCATCCATTTTCTCATCGCTTCATTCCATTCTGGGTCATGGGGGAGCCAGAGCCTATTCTGGCAAACAAGAGGAGCAAGACGGGGTACACCCTGGATGGGGCGCCAGAGCATCCCAGGGCACGGACAGACACATACATGCTCAGACCAGGGACAGATTTACAAGAGGCCAACTGTGAGAGAAAACCAGGGCACTTGGTGGAAACCCATCTGAACATGTGGAGAACATACAAACTCTACACAGAAAACTCAGAATTCCACGCAGGAACCAAACTGATCGTGTATTCGGATGTGTTGAAGTTGCTCAGCTTTCTTTCCCAGGTTGACGGCGAAAATTCCATTCCTTAAAGCTGACCTGGCGTAGCAGATTGCTGGCAACTTGTTCACTCTTGGAAATGTCAGTTTATCCCTAAATAAGCATGAGTGCTAGAGAAAAATAACAATGTAGTAGTGTACAACTATGAGAGTATTCCAGCTAAACTCCAGGAACTCTGGGAGTTAATTGGACTGTGAATGCTGTTCCCATTTTCTAAATGTAAAAGCTCCTTGGGAAAATGCCATTTTCAATTACGGAAACCCAAACTGCATTGTTTTGCTAAAGGCGGTCGGATGAATGAAAACAGAGTCGCATTGTGAGGGGAGAGCAACACGGCCCTGTTTGTTTGTCGACACGGTAACAACCAGGAATGTTGGGCCCGCGTGATTTGTGGGAGAACCTCTCTCTCTCTGTGTGTGTGCGAGTGGGGGTAAAGAGGCCACAGGGATCGGACACCTGGTGTGTTTGCCCAGATCTTTCTGTAATAGCCTTTTTGGAGGATAAGGTCAAGCGTATTTGAATTCGGCAGGACCCAAGTGGCTGAAATGATCCCCATTATTGGAAGAGCAGTGATGTGATGGCTGGTAGGGGAGGGTTGGGGGGCCGGTATCTGTGTCATTTTCGCTGTTTTTATTCCAGAAGGAAAAAGCATCTTTTGGAGTCCCACACACACTTATATTTTTCCTGTTTAGATGTGCTGTGCTCTTGTAATTGGCTAATGATGCTGGTAGAAGAGCCTGGCACGGCTCGCCCCTCTGCTCCGTGCTCTGGGTCTCTCCGATCCGCTGCCCTGCCGCTCGGGGGAGGCTGCAGGAAGTGCTATTGACCCGCGCAGGCCCTTTCCTATTGATTGCGCTGCTGACCGCGCGGCCTGTGTTCCAGACTCCTCGCTGACAGCCAGCCCGGGCCCCGACGCCAGTGGGGTGCCGCAGAAGCTGCTCATCCTGGACGCCCGGTCCTACACCGCCGCTGTTGCCAACCGCGCCAAGGGGGGGGGCTGTGAGTGTGAAGGTCAGTCTCGCTGCCTGCCGGCCCGTATTTAACACCCTGTCCTTCCCCGATCGCTGCCTCCGTGTGTTTTAGGGCTCAATCCAAAGCTCGTACAGACCTCTGGAAACTCCTAGTGGAGTAAATCCAAGACTAGACGCGGAGACGAGAACACCCCCCTCAGTTTCTGTGCTATCGCTGTCCCAGTTGTCCACAGAGCTATAGCGTAGAATCACAATTACGTTCCGTCTGCAATTCCATTGTGCATACTCTTGAGAAGCAGTTATCGGTATATTGTTTCATTTCCTCCACTCTTTTAAGGCGAGCATGTAATCTTACAATCCAAGCAATTGTTCCGTAATTCAGGATTCATTTTGATGACTGATTTAAAGCTTTCACTGAACAAAGTTCAAACTCGTCCACTGCCGGAGACACTGGGACCACTTGCTTCCCCAGGTCCTTGTCTTTTCCACTGCTGTCTCAGATTCAAGGGAGAAAGAATGGATAGTAATCAGTTGTAAACGTCAGAATCATGTTCTCCAACTGTTTTTGCGCATTTTGTTTAGATCTTCCCTGTTGTTTCCCTGTTCAGATTTTGACCAGTCTCTGAGACCTAATTTAAGGAGTTCTTGAAATCGGCATTGCCTACAACAGGCCTGAATTGACTACTAGTCTCGATCTAATTATTGTAATTAATCTAATAGGAAAGTATCAGCCTCACCCAGAGCACAAAAAACAGAGAGTTCACGAATTGGGAGTCATGTGAGTGTTCACCTCGTGTTCTTGTGCCCATTTAGAGTACTACCCCAACTGTGAAGTGATGTTCATGGGCATGGCCAACATCCACTCCATCAGAAACAGCTTCCAGTCCCTGCGCGCCGTCTGCAGCCAGATCCCAGACCCTGGCAAGTAAGTGGAGATGCTTGTCCGCTGTGCCACACTGCCCACTGCTAGTTTCAGTTCCAGTTCTGTTACACTAAAAACAGAAGACCACAGTCACGTGCATGTCTGAGGTGATCTGCCTGATCTGTTTCTGTCTGCTGTTTTCAAAACTGTGACTGCTGGTGTTGCCTGACTTAGGAGGGGAATCGCAGCTCAGTGAGTCTGTGCTGCTGGTGTTAATCTGTCCTGTTCCCTGCAGCTGGCTGTCTGCCCTGGAGAGCACCCGTTGGCTACAGCACCTGTCCGTCATGCTAAAGGCGGCCACTCTCGTGTGCTCCGCGGTGGAGAGGGAGGGCCGACCGGTGCTGGTGCACTGCTCAGATGGCTGGGACCGCACCCCCCAGATCGTAGCCCTGGCCAAGATCCTGCTTGACCCCTACTACAGGACCATAGAGGTAACCCCACTTTTTGCTGCTGGCTTGAGGTCTGAGGAGGAGCAGTTTAACAACACTGTTACTGCAGTTAAGTTAGCCGATACCTTCATCAGAGGCAACTTACAATCAATGTACTGCAAAATCTTAACAGTGGATATAAAATGGGATTAAAGAGATCCTTAATAGTACCAGTATAGTAGTAATAGTCAGAATAATATATTACCATGTAAAACAATGACTAATGCCTAAAAATTGAAATGCTAGCTAGGCTTTAAAACTAGTCTGTAACAACTGAAACGAAAGCAGTGCAATACGTCACAATGTACAATCAGTCATGCAGTCAATGTAAAAGAAATGGAGTTTCCAAAGAACTGATTCACTTTTTAGGCTCCGGCCCTTTTTATGCAGTATTTTACCCCCAAGTCAAGGGTTTTATGATGTGGTCTTGTGTTAGTTTGCTTGATCAATGTCTTTGTTAAACCACCACTCCATGTTGAGTATTGGATGTTGTGCTTTATTTTACCTGCACTCTGGTGGTTAATGCAGTGCGATTGCCGTGCACTCAGGGCTTTCAGGTGCTGGTGGAGACGGAGTGGCTGGACTTCGGGCACAAGTTCGGCGATCGCTGCGGACACCAGGAGAACTCGGACGACGTCAGCGAGCAGTGCCCCGTGTTCCTGCAGTGGCTGGACTGCGTGCATCAGCTCCTCAAGCAGTTCCCCTGTCTCTTCGAGTTCAACGAGGCTTTCCTGGTCAGTGGCCTCCCCTGCGGCTGGCTTCCTTAACTCCGGGCTGACTAGCCTGGCCTCTCCGGGCTGGCTGTGCTGAGGCACAGTGCAGCTGACTCCTGCAGGGACATTGACGTGTAATTGCCAATAGGCTCTGTCTTTAGTAGTATTTGTTAAGCTACGTTCCATGCAAAAAAAACCTAAGGCTTGTTCATCTGCAGTTACAGCATGAACAATAATTTGCCATAAAAATGCTCAAGTATTCAGTTTTTCCTGGGAAAATGTGTTTTCCTTCTTTGGGGAAAGATCAGTATTGCTCCCTTGTCCTAATAAAAATTCACATTACAACTCGGAAGACAATCCAGTCTTCCGTCTTAGTCAGTTTGTGGAGTATGAGCTGTAAGTATGGTATTATAAAGAAGACAATAAGCAGGTCAGGCTATCCAGAAGCTTGAATTGTTCTAAGGGTAAATATTTTTGATTTTTCTGCAATTACTAAAGACTGTATTCTGTTTGTCATAATTCTTTCCAGTGTCGTTTTTTTAATTAATTTTTAACAGTTTAAAGTAAGCTGGCATAATCTTCCTGATCATGCACTTCTGGGTAAGAAATACATCAAATTAAAGGTCACTTCATGGTAAATCTGTGCATTCAGTCCAGCCAGGTAGAGTCTTATTCTCAATGCTAGACTAAATGCAGTGGCGCCCAGCTGAGGTTTGTGTTCTGTTTGTGGACGGCGTAGGTCAAACTGGTTCAGCACACCTACTCCTGCCTGTATGGCACCTTCCTGTGTAACAATGCCAAAGAGAGAGAGGCCCGCAACATCTACAAGCGCTCCTGCTCTGTGTGGTCACTGCTGCGCACAGGAAACAAGAACTTTCAGAACTTCCTCTACATCCCCAGTCATGACATGGTAGGATCATTGACTTCCCTCTCCTTTTTTTTGGGTGTATGCATGCATATATACCGAGCGTCAAAAGAAACTTCAACAAATTCCTAAAGTTATTATCGGGGAAAATAGACATCTTCTTTTGCAGTAGGTGCAGTGATATTTTATTGAACAGACCTGACGCTATTCCTTATAACAGAGCAGTTTAACAGCGGCTTTAAAATTTAAAATTTGGCTTTAAAACATTGACTTTTAAATGGAAATTGTTTTTTATAGTGCAAAGTGACCATGCTGTTTAGGGTTATAGCGTTTTGTGCTTATTTTTAGGCTTGTTAAATCATGTTTTGAGTTGCCATTCATTATGCAACGGTACAGTTTTTAAATGTACTGCTGTTAAATACATTATGCAGACCTGTAGTACAAGTGCACAGTTGTGGAATGGATGTTCAATCAGGATTAGCCTTTATTGGGTGCTGACCTGTCTGGGCTGTTCTCCTCTCAAGGTGCTCCAGCCCGTGTGCCACACAAGGGCTCTCCTGCTGTGGACAGCTGTGTATCTCCCCACCTCGTCCCCCTGCACTGCGGCAGAGGACTCCATGGACGCGTTCCTGTCCCCTGCCACCCCGGGCGAGGAGTTCACCTCCCGGTCGCTCGACAGGTCTCGTTTTATAGCCATGGAATAGCATTACCAGCACTCCCTGGCACACCGTGTCCCTAAGTGGGCAATGTACAGGTGCCTGTGCAAAAGTTAGTCCAGGTTTTTGAAGCAGAAAATACCTGCTCTTTAATGCTCAATGACACCAGCAACAATCAGGATAATAATGCTGGTCTCACTTCATCATTGAGATCTTCGACAGTTTAAAAAGAGGGTTCTAAATCGCCCTTTCCATTAAAGCTTTCGGGTTTAGACAGGTGGTTCTGTGAAAGACAGCATACCCTGGTGGTAGTTAAAGGAAAATCTGGTGGTGCACACTGTATCTTGAAGAGCAGCTCCATAAAGGACAGTTGGTAGCATGTATATTTTATTTATTCAGCTGTGCAACATGCAGGTCTATAAAACAGTGCTAAAAAAGTGTAATATCTCCCTTTTCCTTCATAGGCTGCCAAAGACACGGTCTATGGACAACCTTCTTTCTGCCTGTGATAACGGGACGCCTCTGAACCGCACTTCCAGTGACCCCAACCTCAACAAGCACTGCCAGGAGGGGCGCCCTGCACTGGAACCCAAGCCTGGAGCAGCAGAGGACCCGGTGGACAGTCCTGGCGAGGGCACGGGGCACAGCAAGGAGGAGGAGGTGGAGGAGGAGCCCGAGAGCAGCAGCCATCTCTCCACAAGGCACCAGAGAGAGGAGCAGCTGAACGACGAGAACTGCAACTCTCTCAAGGAGTACTGCCTGACCCTGCAGCCCTTGGCCTCCCCAGACAGTGTCTTAGAAGAGGGGGCTACCCATTGCCCCGAGGACAGCCCAGTCCTCAGCCAGGCCCAGGCCCTGGACAATACCCCGCCCGTCCAGCCCCCACCCCAGGAAGCAGAGAGTGAGTGTCGGACTGCTGACCACACATCGTCCCCTGAGACTGAGGGACACTTACTGGCTCCTTGCAATGGGCTGGCACTGGAAAGAACAGAGCACGAAGCGGCCCCACCCGTGGTGGAGCTCCTCAAGTTGGACGAGACGCCCGCCACGCTTAACGGCTCTACCGAGACCCTCACGGAGCAGAAGGCGGCCTCGGCCTGTGCCAAGAAATCATCCCAGGACAAGGGCTGCCTGCCGGAAGGGGAGAATGAGCGGGCAGAGCTGGCGAGGATAGGCCGGACGCACCCAGAGTGTGCCAGGACTGCCAGGAGATTCATTTCCCAGAGCCAGCTGAGCGAGTTCACGCTGCTCGGCTCCCACTGGGAGAGCATGCAGGGGCTGGTCAAGTCGGCCTGCGGTGGGGAAGCGGGGTTCTGCCGGGCCCTCCAGCCGAGCTACCAGAGCCGGCGGCTGGCGGGCAAGCTCCTGCGGGCGCAGGGCATGGCCCCCAGCGGCGGGCAGTGCTGCCACCGGCCGGCCAGCCTCGTCCACTCCAGCTGGCTGTCGGCCGCGAAGGCCTCCGACTGCGCCGCGCTCTGCTCCTCCAGGCCGCCGCTGGTCCCTTCGCCGCCGCCGCCGCCCCCGGCCACCCCCGCCTACCTCGACGACGACGGGCTGTCCGTGCCCACCGACGCGGTGCAGCAGAGGCTGCGGCAGATCGAGGCCGGGTACAAGCAGGAGGTGGAGGTGCTCCGCCGGCAGGTGCGCCAGCTGCAGATGCGACTGGAGAGCAAGCAGTACTGCGCCCCTCCATCTGAGCCCGACGTGGACTACGAGGATGACATTGTGAGTACAGCAGCAGGAGGGCCTGAGCCTAGCGCCCCCTTGCTTTCCCCGTTTGTCATTGCTGAATTATTTGAGACGAGCCTCTTGCATCACAAATTCAGCACTCGTTCGTGCCGATGGGGATTCTCCTGCTTCAAAGCACGCAGATGCTGAAATGCGGATGTGAAATATCAAAGTACGCTCTTTCTAGGAGGTGTTCATTTTGATTTAATAAAGTTAAAAATTCTTTACGTGGATGAAGCGCTTTTCTGGCCACACCAATGAAAGTGCTTCACAGGTAAGGGGGAATCCCACCACCACCACCAATGTGTCGCCCCCACCTGGCTGGTGCGACGGCAGCCATATTGCGCCAGAACACTCACCACACACCAGCTCTCAGTGGGGAGGAGAGCAGAGTGATGAAGCCAGTTCATAGAGGGGGAATATTAGGAAGCCATGATTGGTAAGGACCAATGCGTAATTTAGCCAGGACAACGGGGGGACACACCGACTCTTTTAAGAAACGCCCTGGGATTTTTTATGACCACGGAGAGTCAGGATCTCGGTTTTACATTTCGTCAGAAAGACGGTGCCTTTTTTCCCTTGGACCCGTAGATGTCCGTGCGCGCTCGTTGTGCACCCTGTTAAAGTGACCCCTCCCCCTCTCTTCCCCAGACGTGTCTGCGGGAGTCCGACGACAGCGACGAAGAGGACTCCCTGTCCGACCGCAGTGAGGATTGCTTTTCGGAGGGCAGCTGGGACAGGGTGGAGAGGAAGGACACAGAGGTCAGCGTCCCTGATTGCCTAATCCAGGTTTCTCTTCCTTACCTTCTTCTCCACCGGACATGGCGGCCGTCACCCATTCACACCACCTCCGCCTATTCAAGATAATGCTCATCTCTACCTGAGGTGATCTCGTCTGTGTCTTCAATTGGCAGGTCACGCGCTGGGTGCCCGATCACATGGCGTCTCATTGCTTTAGCTGCGACTGCGAGTTCTGGATTGCCAAACGACGCCACCACTGCAGGTGAGCTGTCTCTCTCGGGCCCTCATGAAAAAACCCGTCCAGTCTTGGGTGAAACCAGTCTTCTGTTTTTTTGTGCAGCAAGTGATGTTCTCTTGATAAACACATTCGAAGTGTGGCAGAGCTGATTCAAGAAAAATGATTTAGAATGACAACTGAAGCTTGAGCTTTAGAGTGCATCTGTTGTCTCCCTAGTTTTCCAGTGCTTTTGTCTGCCACTAAAATTCTGCTTGATCATAACAACGTCAGCAGAGTTTCAAATGAGTGGCAGACATTTGGCCCAGCTATCTCATTTGATTGCTAAGTAGCTTATTGATCCAAGGATCTCATCTCAGCTGTTTCTTGAAGGATTGTCTCTGTAGTCCATTTTCATTCCAGACGCATTGCAGCTAAGCAATATCCGGGAAGCAGAGTCGATCTGTCACTCTGCTTTCTCGCATAAATTAGTGTATTTCATAGCATGATCTCAGCTGATAGCTGCAGCCTAGATTTGATTGTGTCTGTCTGCCCCCCCCCCCCCCCCAGAAACTGTGGCAACGTGTTCTGCAAGGACTGCTGCCACCTGAAGCTGCCCATCCCCGACCAGCAGCTGTACGATCCGGTCTTGGTGTGCAACTCCTGCCACGACCTGTTGCTGGAGTCCAGAACACGGGAGATCAGGAGCCAGCAGCTGAAGAAGCCCATCGCTACCGCCTCCAGCTGAGAGCCCAGCCCAGCTCCCCAGGGAGCCTCCTGACGACGCACCGGCTTATCGGACGATCCAGGCTTGGTGTCATTCCTGACTCGTTGCTCTGGAGCCAAAGCTCTTAGAAAGGCTATGCAACTGTTTGGAGGGGAGTAGGGGCACGGGGGAGGCAGGGAGATTCTGTCCCAACCTGATGAATTATTCCCCAGTTGACTGTCTTTTAGCCTGAAGGCGCAGCGTTCCAGCTGGTCGGAGGCAGCGTTCAAACTGCGCTGGAAAGAATTCCCTCTCTCCAGCAGTTCTTCTGACCTATGCACCTGGGACTGCGTATCTTGTAATGCCACACACAAAGGACAATCTCCCATCTACTGGAGAAGCATTGGGACTCCCAGGGCTCAATCAGCATAGTGAAGGCTTACTATTTAAAAAATGCTGCTACAGTATGTGAATTCTTTTTATTTCGTGCACTACAAGCTGTTATATATCGGTGGGATTTTGAGACCAAACGTCAGTTAAAGGGAGAAACCTAGAGTTCACGCAGTTGTATCCTCTTGTGGGCCTCATAGAGCCTGATTGTAATGTTGAAAACGAACAAGACAGAGTCAGAAACGCTGATACGGTTTATGTCTGTGTGTGTAGATCGGTTGTGTACGTGTCCGTTTTTACAGTGTATCTGCAAATCACCAGTTATGCAGTTCCATGTCTTTCCAAAGCTAAACCAGAGTATAGTATTGTTGTGACGTTTCTCTTTTCTTTTTTCTGTTCACAAATGCAGCAGGGAGAAGTGGCAAGTGTTTTCACGGGACAAAGCTGACACGTTAGCGTGTTCGTGCATTTTACAGAACGTCAGAAAACATATTTATGGACTGCTGTGTGTAACGTTCATGTGTTTTACTGGGGAGGTTAAGGCCTAGTGAAGTGACATGGGAATGTTGTACTAAACACATTGCACTCAATCTATAATAATTTTCAAAAATACTATAAATTTCAAAGCTGACCATACTTGGGTTGAGGAATAAAGATGTCATCAAAAATTGATATGATTGAACTCTCAAAAGACACTGTTTAAGATTGGTTGGAAATATCAAGCAGAATTCTGTTCTCGGCACTTCAGAGCAATCGTAATCTTTTAGTTTTAAAATGTTACATACTGAAGCATTACATGAAGGCATTCTAGACCCAGAAGATAATACAATTCATTTTGTGTCTTTTTGTTTATAATACCAGAAATCGTAAACTGACTGGTGTATAATGTCGGATGGAGTTTCTCAAAACAATAGTGCCATCTTTTTTTGAAATAAAAAAGTTTTTTGTTTGTGAATTAGAAGTCCACCTTAATAATTGGGAATGGATTAAAACCATAAAAAGTCCAATTCAATTATAATGGAATTATTTTTAAGTAATTGGAACTGCTTGTTACTTCAACGGTACAACTAGCTAGCTGCTTAATGAGGAGAGGATCTTAACTGTTCCTCAACGGGGAAATTTAAATTAGATTAAAACAAAGATCTAAATTAAAAAAAAAACTGTGAAAAAATGTTTGAGTGGGACATAGAGGTTCCCACTCACCTAATGCTTAGGTCCTGCTTTCAGTGGTGTCAGCGAGGGCAGAGAAAAAGAAATGTAATATATATCTAGATATCAAATCTGTACTAGTGGCTAAAATCGTCACCTAGTCATTAATTGTTGTAAAGAAATGCACTGTACAAGTTAAATCCCATGGGTTAATTAAAAAGAGATATCTATCAGGACATGACTTGCATTGTGGCATTTTTCCTCACATAAGATGTTTCCTCTTTTCGCCCATCCCTCTGCAGAATTCCCCCTCTACAACAGTGTCGAGACTGAACATAAAAGAGCATGGAGCTGGTCAAGGAGCATGGAGCTCAGCTCAGACTGCCTCTGCCTCATCTAGGTGCCCGCTCACTGGAGGGGAGGCAGTGGTGTAAGGGATGGAGATGTAGAGAAAGCCCAACCCGTTTCCCGTCACAGGGGTCACGATGTACACATGGTCAAATCATGATCAGAGCTCCTCTTATATTTGCTCTCCTGTGTAATACATTATTGAAGGTGAGATTTGTAAAGGGGTTATTTTATGTTGGCTTGTGATCTTCTGGACCAAACATGTGGGCATACCTGAGAAGATGTCTTCCCAGGGCACCTTGTACTCCAGATCATGGACAGACCTGGCCAGTGAATGTTGCATGTACCCCAACAAAACAATCCCCACTTGGGTTTCCCGAGGGATCTGCTCAATAGGTTTGACAGTGCAGATGGGCCCATGTTAAACTGGAACAAAAAATTGCCTTTTTTCCACCCCATCATGAAATATGAAGCCAAAATAGTTCTCGAACTGTGTCCAAGAGGCTTCGTGTGCACCTCCCTTTGAAAAGACTGTGGAGGAGGCCTTTAGACAAACATCTCCTACAGACAGGGTGATGCACAGTCACAGTTACTCTCGGCAAAAGGTATTTATGATCCTAATTTCTTCCTGGACTTCCACTTTTTCCCCCTTTTTATCCTATTGTTCTACTACCATGATTTCGAAGTTTGTAAGTATCAATATAAAATCATGGAAGTATTTATCTGGGACATGCATTGTTTTTATAAAAAGGCCCAGTTCAGAACGGCGGCCAGGGATTTGTGGGGTGTGGAACTCTGATCCGCTTTCATCCTTTTTCACTGGCCTTCAGCCCTTAAAAAAACTTGAAGGCCGGTTTATTTTCCAGCCGCGCCTGCTTCATTTTCCCAAGCGAGATGGGAAAAGCACAAGCTGAGGCTCCGATAGCAACAGGACAGCTTCTATGCGCCTTGGATCTTTTTATGACATCGTTCAACACCACCGGCCCATAAAATCTTCAAAAGATGCACTGTACCCAGTAACTTGTGTATTGGCCTCTTGATAGATGTCGGTTTACACAAAGCGAACTCGCGTTGGAAACACCTGTACAACATAGTGAGTAGGCCCTGCAGCAGGAAAAGAGTAAAAACACATCTGAATCCACAGTGTATTCCAGTGCTGTGCAAGTTTCAGTTCTGGCAACTATAAAAAAAATACCCCGAGTGGTTGCTGCCTTGCAGTGCTGGGTCCCCTGTTTCAATGCTTGACCTGGGTTGCAATCGGAATGGAGTTTGCATGTTCTGTCCAGGTTTGCATAGGTTTCTTCTGGGTCCTCTGATTTCCTTCCACAGTCCTGAGACATCCTGGTAGGTTAACTGGCATCTGGGAAAATTGGCCCTTGTGTGAGTGGGTGTGCCTGTGTCTGGTATCGGTCTGCCCTGCGATAGGCTGGTATCCCATCCAGGGCGTACCCTGCCTTGCACCTGTGGTTTACTAGGATAGGATTCGACTCCCCCGCAAGCCTCAACTGGATGAAATGGTTAGAAAATGGATGGATTATGCAATGCCTCCTATTTACTCAGAAAAGTACTGCTTGACATGGTAAATGCAAACCATAATTTCTTTAAGTTATGGAAATTCAGGACCTGATGAAACGGAACTTTTTACAGCCCTCCTACATTCAACACCTGAAGAAAAACAACCAGGCAAAACTGATAAGATCAATAGTTTCTGACTTTATTGTGCACATACAACAAAGATCAGCCATGAAGTGTGGAATACACAACAAGCAGAGGTCAAATCCTGGGATATTCTCACACCAGAGGTCAAAGTTTTATTATAAACCTTTTCAGAAAAGTGCTGCATACAAATAGCATTGCACTCACAGTAACATGACGGTTAAAAACCTCATTGAGGGTCTACAGTTAAGAGAAACCCTAAGGCGGCCCTGACAGGCATCAAAGCACATATCGCAATACTCGGTCTCCATTCTCAGGGACGAAGAGAACTCCAGACACGCTGAGCCACATTCAAGGGAACACTGGTCAGCCGTGTCTTAAGTTTTGGGTCCGTAAATCCAGATCTGTGTAAAGGGAAAACCTGAAAAGAGGAGTAAACCCAAACAAGGAATTAATACTGATAAAATCTTGATATCGCTCTCTGCAGAGGAAAGTGCTGAAATGTGTATTTTTTGGCACAGAAAGAGCACACCTGTGTTCTGCCGTAAGTGGTGTTTTTTCTGAGACCGGAAAAACATAACTGCCCAGCGGAATAACGATTTTATTCTATTTTAGGAATACAAACAGAATAACCCTGGCTTTAGACTAGATTGTTTCAATCACCTCCTAAAATATTTGTTTCTTGTCTTCTTAAGTGCTATTTCTTACGATCTGTATTCTACATATTCAAAGTATGTCAGCAAAGAAGCTCAAAAGCTAACACATAAAGGAGTCACACTTTGTTTCCTTAGTTTATCCAGACTAACACGGGACAGCAAAATGGTTTTCATCCTGTCATCATTGTAAACAGCTGTTTTGAATCTTAGGTCGTTTGCTTATTAAAGACAACTATGGTATAACGAATTAACGTGGTCATTAAAGATCCTAATCGAGGTGGTTTTGACTGCTAAAGTAACATCGAAACAGCGCTCAGAGCTGGCTTGTGTTGTTGCATTGAAGATGGAAGACGGATAGGGAGGAGGAGGCGGCGGCGAGAGGCAGACATGTTTTGACGTGTCTGTGCAGAGCCCAACGCCAAACAGACAGCACTACAGCAAGCGTAAAGCTGAAAATCAAACGTCTTTGTCCCTTGCATACCTTCGATCCGCCTGTTAAGAAGACGTGCTTTTGGATCTCCTTCGCTTTAACTCGCTGTTGTGAAACTTCTCCGCGATCTTCCGTTCGTGACCAGCAGGGCAATGGCGGTTGGTATGCAGCCCGATCTCTCTCTTCGTTCTCCCTTTGCCGCCTGCGTGGCAGGAGAATTCAATCAGGTTATAATACTCGTACTGGTCATAGTGTTCCTCTTCGAAAGAGGCGAGGGTCTCGATATCTGTTGCCATTGTTTGCGCGTTAAAAGACACGAGCCGAGCTCTGGTCAGAGGCACTGCGACGACAAACCAGCTCCTTGTTCTCTGTATGTAAACATATGACGTCAGCCAGACAGCGTGCCCTATCTGTCACGTGTTTGAAATGACGCCATGTGATTGGGTTCACTTCGTCGCGTGGTTAAGAGAATGCGGCGCGTGTTGGCTTGTTGACATGACTTGTGTTTTGGTGTTCAGTGTAATTATTATGTGTTTTTTGTTTTTTAAAAATTACAGTATTGGCGTTATTGTTATGAAAAGTAAGGGAGTCGAAGTGGGGAGCGGAAAATATTAAATGTGTAAATATTAAATTGTATTCCTGCGAAAAACAGAATTGTGGTTCATTGGCACATTGTTGGAATTATTACATTCTGGAAACTCTTGACATCAAATCTTATGTTTTGGTTTATTGGTGTGTTTTTCAAAGAAGCAACAAATATACAGTCATTAAAAAACGGATTTTACCTTCACTAGGTTGAATAGGCTAAATTAGTTCTAGCAGAGATTCACTATTCTTGAGTGATGAGTGATAATGGTGAATTATTTGGACCTATCTCATGAGTTCGTGCTCAAGGACATTAAATATATCGATTGAAGTATATATACTGGTCAGGAGGTTAGCAGCTATATCACCCTGCAACTCACAACTTGTAAATCCCCCTGAAGCTCAGCATGTACCTGGATGGGAGACCTCCTAGGAAAGCTAAGGCTGCTGCTGGAAGAGCTGTTAGTGGGACCAGCAGGGGGCGCTTGCCTTGCAGTCTGTGTGGGTCCTAATGCCCCAGTATAGTGACGGGGACACTGCACTGTAAAAAGGCCCCATCCTTAGGATGAGATGTAAAACAGGTTTTGACTCTCTATGGTCATTAAAAATCCCAGGGGGGTTCTCACAAAGAGTAGGGCTGTCCTTGGTGTCCAGGCTAAACTCTCCCTTGGCCTTTACCAATCATGGCCTCCTAATAATCCCCATCTATGAATTGGCTTCATCACCCTGTTCTCCTCCCCACTGAGAGCTGGTGTGTGGAGAGCGGACTGGTGCACGGTGGCTGCCGTCGCATCATCCAGGTGGGGCTGCACACTGGTGGTGGTGACCCCATTACTAAAGCGCTTTCAGTGGAGTGGCCAGAAAAGCGCTATGTAAGTATAGGGGTTATTATTTATTATTAAGTCATGTTTAATTTCTCAAAATATGCAGCTTCCTCACGCATTGTTTTCTCCAAATCGCCACACGAGGGAGCCTTTCTCCACCGCGCCATGTATAGAGCAGGCTCTGACCGGCCGGCGGCTGCGGCCGCTATGTAGCAGGAAGCAGTGAAGCGGATGGGCTTTATCATCGCTCTGCGACCAGGTTTATGAACTGAGGCGGAAACAGCTGTCAGATCCGGTTGTCGTTCTTAAACGTTGTGATCCTAATGGGGACAGTCTTCATTTTTCTACTTAAAATAAGTTTGTTATGCGATAGGTGTTTGTTTTATAAAGAATTAAATCACCTAGTGCGACTCACGATTCTTTGATCTCATATACCGTTCGTTGTGGTGTGACCCCTCAATTCTCACAGAGTTGTTGTCTTAGTTAACGCCTGCTACATTAACAAAAACACAAAACACTTCTTTTCAAGCTTTTAAAACCACCAACAAATACCTTCACAGATTTCCAAAACAATTAAAAACCATCAACAAATTTTCTTAAGTGGAATGCACACTTGACCTGTGATGATGATGATGATGATGATGATGATGATAATTAATACAAGTTTTCATCATGTATTGGAGTGGTTGGATGCTCTTCATCATCCTGGCTTAAGCTCAGTGGTTAGCATTGCTGCATCAGAGTGCTGGGGCCCTGGGTTCCATTCCTGGGGAGCTATCTGTGTGGAGTTTGTATGTTCTCCCTGTGTTTATGTCAGTTTCTAAAGACCTGCTGGTCAGTTGATTGGCGGCTGGGAAAACTGGCCCTGGTGTGAGTGTCTGTCCTGCTATTGACCAGTGTCCTGTCCAGAGTGCACCCTGCCCTGCTGGGATAGGCTCTGGCGCCCCCATGACTGAATTGATGATCCAGAGGGAACAGTGACACCTACTGGTCTGCCAAACCATTATACAGCAAAAAGAGTCCTACAGATCCTGCACAGCCAGGTCCAGCCTTGCTCTGCTCCTGAAATCTGACGTGATCGTAGTGCTGCTAGCTGTGCTGTAGCCAGCATCTAGATTTGGTTGAAGCCATTATCGCCATCGCAGATATTTGTTCGCAGGTAGTTTGGAAAGACAAGTCAAGGGAGGGAGACTATTGGAGGGAGATGACAAGTCACCTTTTCTCCTCCCTAACCCCTAACCCCTAACCCAGCCCAGCCATAAGGAGAAAGCCACAGCAGGGTCAGAAGTCAGTGTTTTGTCTACTGCTGGTGCACCACTCACTCTGCACTTTCAAGGATCTGTGCTGCCTTAGAGGGAAATTCTCCAATTCTCCTATAACCGACCAGGTGTCGGCTTTACCTGCTTCAATAACAGCCACCATCACCATAATCTTTCCACTACATTCCACTGTTTGGCTGTGAACAAAAAAAGTAGCATAGGACTAACATACATTCTGGCTTCACGCCATTCTGGATATTAATTCCAATCTTAATGTCGGCTTCGAAACCTGCAATCAAGCACCCGCTCAGAACTTGAGCTTTTCGGTTACATGACTGATCCTGGCTGTCAAAATCTTTCTAAAATGAGATTCAAGTTGATGAAGACAAATGCCCCTACCGGAAGTGACTCCCCGGACCACGTGACTCCGCCTTTAACCTCAAATCTCGTATTAAAGGAAATGAAAGCATGTCCAATAACAGACTGAAAATCTTTTATGTACAGTGCGTCAACACATACATACAATACAAAAAAACTATTGATTTCAATTGCTGAATGGTTTTATAATTTATTGTTAGAATATAACCATTCTAATTGGGATGTTTCCGATGCCTTTATCAATATTTCCACATTAAAGACATTTACATACTTAAAAACTATATGTCGGAAGTATTTGGAAAAAAACATTTAATTTAAATACTTTGGTATATTTAATATTAACTAAACAGCACAGTTTGCATGCAGTAATAAAAACAGAATTTAAGAAATCTATTTGAAATCTAGGACTATTTTCTCCCGTCATTTTCACTTTACTCTTGTAAATAAGCGCGCTTTTATGCGCCCAGCCCCATGTAAAAACGGACCTAGTCTTCGAAGCGCCCGTCGAATTAGTAAGAAACTATCATAAGCGAGCGAGACCAATTATTTTTCTTTGGGTCCAGACTTTGGAGCAGCATCTCACGCCTCGCCTTCTCCAGCCCGTCGCAGGAGTGAAAGGAATGCACGGAATTCACGCAAGGGAAAATTGTGCAGCGCATCCCGGAGACAACACGCTCACCTGCCTCAACAACCTCCCCCGCCCAGCCCAGCAGAAGGGCTCCACCCCCCCGACGCACGCTGTGCGACGTGGTCACGCACCATTACGTCGCCGCTCCCACAGCCCAATAGTAGGCGGCTGCGTGTGCGAGCAAGGCCGGAGAAAGATGGCGGCGCCCGTCCTGAGAGTGTCCACCCCTCGATGGGAGAGAATAGCCCGGCTGCTGGTCTGCGTCTTGGGCATCCTGCTGTCCTTCTACGCTTTCCATGTGGAGACGGAAAAGGCCAGAGACCCGAACTACCTGGCCATGTGCGACGTGGGCGACTCTGTGAGCTGCTCCAAAGTGTTCACCTCCAGGTATCGCGACTCCTCCAGTGCAACAGAGCCCAGCTAGTGGCCGGCAGCCGGTTTTTGCTTGTAGTCCGGACCGGCAGAGTGAATGGGTTTGGGGAGATGCACGGTGGCATCGCTTGGGAGGGCAGGGTCTCTTGGTCCTGATGTGTTTGAGGCGCCCTGACCGGTCGCTCGTTGATGTCTCTGATTCGAGGTCTCTAACTGGGCAGTCGGTGCAGTCCTCTGTGGGTCCACAGCACTGTCCAGATGCCACAACGACAGGGAGGTCCGTGCTGTGATTTGTGTAGGTTTGTGTCTTACACATAAATTAAAGCGTTTCTGTCTTTTCTTAGAAACGCTAAGGCCAAAAGCAAGAGGAATAAGCTGGCAGCATACGATTTACTAAGAGTGCTACGATAAAGCAAGTGGAAACAAAACGTGTTACTGTGGTTTTTTTTTTTGAGTGACTGTTATTTTCAATGCCCAGTTTATTTTGATAAGCAATGTATGTTTCACATCATATATATAATAGTGACGGTGGTTGATCATTTTTTCCAGGTAATAAAGGGGTTAATTGCAGAGCTGGCAGCTACCATACAATGGGAAGGGTGGAGAGGGATTTTGGGATTGTGGTTTTCAGGAGGAACGTTTCTTAAATAGGTATATATACTGTATCTAGCTACACAGCCGAGGATTGTTCAGATATATGGTTTGGTTATTATTCCAATCCCAGTGATTTATTTAAATCATTGAGGACTGAGGCTAACTGATTGCTTCTCAGATGCAGCATAAATTGTACAGAATTCATCTATAAGACTGGCCAATAGCTTCATTTATTCAGTTATTACAATAATGTCATACCTTTAAAACCGAGTCTCTGAGCTGTATGGTGCTTTCTTTAGAATGTCACACAGTGTTTGTGGATATCCATGATGTGTGTTCGGGGAGTGAAGGTCCAGTGTCTCTCACTGGGAGACCCGAGTGAAGACCAGTATAGGAATGTGATGATGTTGGTCAGAGGTCAACAAGATGTGTTCAGTTTTACAGGGAGGAAATTGTTAAAATGTCAGCATACTTTGTATGACTCAGTAATAGTTACAGTGTAAGTCAGCTTTTAATAGGCTGTACAGTATGCCCAGCTTTGGTGTTCAGCTGGGTGTGTTGGAGTTCATAGCAGTTTGATTGAACACCTGATTACTCTGGTGGGGGGTGAAGTCTGCATTTCTGCTGTGAAAACTGGAGATTGGTGCGTTATCACACAGCTCCTAATCATTTATTATTGCAGAGTGCTCTTTTGCAATCAGTGGATGATATCATCATACAGTTTTTGCACGTGGCAGCTGCAAAAGGTGAAAGGCCACGTTTTTTCTTCGTACAAGAAAGGATCGTTTTCAATGTCATAATTTTCTTAATGTAGTGTTATAGCAGATGTCCATATGACATTTGATTATTGGATTATTCACACAATCTAAAACTGGTGGCACATTGTAATAAACTTTTTTTTAGAGTTGGCGGTATGATGAAATCTGTTTTACTTGGCTATGTTAATATCTTAGTGTGAAATATTGTGGATGAATTGAAACACACACTGAAACAAATTGTGATCGTTTTTCTTTTCTGTCACAAATCTGTCTGCTTAAAACACTTCTCCCCATGCTTTGTACATTCCAGCTCTTTCTGCCACTGGGAACACATTGTACAGTTACTAATACTTCCAAATGATTTATTTTGATTAATTTTATGTCTGCAATAAGTTGCAAAATTGAAATAATTTTATGATTATTGAGACTTACTGTTGTTCTGTCTTATACTTGTACTGTGATCCAGCTGTCAAAAACAGCCGTTATACATCAGACTGAAATCTAGAATGCTGAATTTGATCAAACCATTTCCAGTCCTTCATTACAAATGACATAAAAACTTGCTCACTTTGAAAATAGTGATATATGCATCTTAAAATTGTATTGTCCCCCCAGCTCTTAGTTGTTACTTGGTGTAATAAAAAGTGTCCTCTTTAAGTGGTAAAGTTGTCATGTGACATTTGAATGAGGAATTAGACAAATGGTCTTCTTTACTGGATACAGTGACATTTCATCGCTCGGTGTTCGAAGTTGAGAAGTCCAAGGGCTTGAGGGTTACGAGGGGCTAAAGAAGCAATTTCTTGCCCCACGTTTTAAGCCCGTCCTGTTTCTCGCATCACTCTGTGACGCCCGTCTTGTCGTTCAGCATTCCAGAGCAATTGTATCCAAGGGTGAGAATGATTTGTAGGTTGCTAAGGCTCATCTAAGGCACAGACATTTTATTTAATCAGTTTTGAATCCTTGGATGTGTCTGAGGGGTCTCACCTTTCAGGTCCTTTTGTGAATCAAAGCAAGTTTAAAGATTCCAAGAGTGGGTGGTGTGGCTGTTGACAAGGAGCAGGAGAAGAGAGTTCTGTGTGCCTGGTTGCTTCTGTCTCCGGGGCAGTTTTAGCTAAAGGAATGGCAAACTGTAAAGAAATCCCTCTGACTTGTGTGATGTCAAAGACCATGGTTTTCCCCAAGTAGAAAATGTTTGTGTGTGTGTGTAAATGCACAGAAAAGAAGAGTCAGACAGCTATTATTAAGAAAGCAAATGGTTTACGTTTAGACCAAGCTGCTGCAGCCAGCACCAAAGTGAGTGCAGAGGCCTGTGCAGACGTGTGTGTGGTTACTTTTTAAATATTTAGGCTTTACCTTTGAAACAAGGCGAAGACAAGGCATGAGCTAAATAATTTAGGAAAACACCTGTATGTGACCAATTGTTTTGAAATCTTATCTTGTTGAGCAAGCAGTGCCTGCTACCTGGGTCTGGCTGTATCTTCCCAAGAGTGAGTCAGGCAGCTCTCCAACTCAATCCAGATGCTTAACATCTGAGTGTGAGTCAGGAGGACTCGCAACTGGAAACCAGAAGTGTCCCCGCTGTGGCTGACTTTTAGTCAGCGCTTTGAAGAAGGGAGTTATTGGACAGTGGACACATTGTACTCAATCTGGAAGGGCTCTGTCATGTTGAAAGTAACAGATATAGCCCATTCAGACCACGTGCCGTATGTCTTTGTCTTCGAGTGAAGAATGATGTAGTTGCCCTGGTCTCGGAGTGTGCGGAGGTAAACCTCGCAGAGAGCTTCTTGTTTTAGTGCAGCTCTTGCCTGCACGTCCTGTAGCCTTTGTGGCACAAGTCCAGTCAGTTCCTGCTTTTGGTGAGCTTGTTCTCCATAATGTGCATATCCCAGTCTGAGGCCAGCTGACCCAAACCTTTGTTGGAGGTAGAACTGTAGCCTTTAGATTTTATTCTTATCAGCACTTGGTCTTTTGTTGCGCTTAAATACTGGTAATCCTGCAAAGTCTAGATCTGGATCTCCGCAGCCTCAAAGCAAAATTGAATTTGTCTGGGTTAACCAAACTTCATCTTAAGCCAGTGCCGAGACTGGGACAGAATGGCTGTGGTCCACAATGGATTGTCGGTAGCTTCTGCTTCTTCACTTCTGGTGGATACAAGGGTTAAAAGTAAAGTGTGTTTTTTGTTCTTTTCCTACAAACGTGAGGGCACAATGCCAGTGGACAGTGTCTGCGGTGTTTGTTCACCAAACAGCAAAACAAAGCACTTCAATAGGACCTACAATAGTCTTTATTTGTATCTAAACCACCCTGGTGGTCTTTCAGGGATCCCTGTAGACATGCCTCCTGAGCTTCTTGTGGCTTCTCTGTGCTGGGGTCCAGTGCAGTAGAGCTGTGGAAGAGAAATCTTGGCTCCGCCTGCACAAGCAAGCACACGTCTCTGTCAACTGGCCTGTGGCCACACCCTTGTATGTGTGGTTGACATGGCTTTAAAAAGACGTCTCATTACCTTTGCTGGGAAAGGAACATTGTAACTCAGTTCAAAGAGTCTACACCCTGTGTGAATGAGGATGAGGTTGTCGTGGTAGAAGAACACAAAACTAATTTGTTCCGTGCAAGAAAATGACATTTCTCATTGCCTTGTTTCTGCACCCTTATTTTTCCATCATCTATCATGGTTACTTAATCCCAGTCTAAAGTCTAAGTGGGCCATGTTAGTATGCAGTGAGCAGCAGTCCTGCACAAAGATGTGTGTGACTGATAATCATTGGCAGTAAGATCTGCTTCTCTTCTTGTACCTGTAGTAGGACAGTGGGAGTCAAATTTCCCTCATGAAAATGAGCTTTGAGAATAGCCCTTATCTTTTGTTCTTGTATTCCATAAGTATGTCGGGCACTGCACTAGAGCCCTAAAAGTGCTGTTGTTTCTGTAGCGAATTGGCAATGTCCTTTTATATGCCTGCTGGGATTATAGATTAGCAGTCGGAATTCCAGAACCCCTCTGTGCTTTGAGTTCCAACGCAGTTCGTGTCATTATGTAGCTGGTGTTCTCGGTATTATCTTTGAACAGCAAAAGTGGAAGATAAGCATGTAACAGATATGAGGTCTCAAATTGTTTTTAAAAAATGCTAGCTTGCTAAAGAATTTCAGAAGCTTTCCCTTTTTAAAGAATGCATTGCATTTAACGAGAATGCATTTAACGCTTGTTCAGCACGATAACCATAGGCATGACTTCTTTTGTTTTGGTTCTTTAAGGAAGGCTGTGGGTTTGCTAATCTGCTTGTTGTGTCTTTTTTTCCAGATGGGGTAGAGGATTTGGGCTGCTGGGCTCCATTTTTGGTAAAAACAGTGCAATGAACCAGCCAAACAGTGTCTACGGACTCATGTTTTATGTTTTCCAGCTGTTACTAGGTGAGTACTTGGAAAACACGTAATGAATTAATTCAAGTATAAATAGAACATTTAACCCATTTAATTTTTGCTTGCTGTTAAGCTCTTTGAGCAGAAGCACCTCCATCAATGTGTTGGAATCTATAAGGCTTGTAGCCGTGCATTGAAAACCACAGTGGTTCCTCCAGTTATATATGAACCGGCTCCAGTATATACTTCTACAGCTGCTGTAAGATTCTCTTAAAGGCCAGGGTTTGCATTCATGTTGAGAGACTGAAGACGTATTGTAGCACACTGTTTGTTCTCCATTTTTTGTCAGTATGCCCTCAGAACCTTTTCCTTTAGCACTGTTCACAAAAACCCGAAGAACACAGAAATAATGAAATAGCATGATTCGGTTTTAATGGCCTCTCTTTTGTCCCGCAGTTCTGGCAAGATTTTTAACTTTCTTTGTTTCCATTTTGATGTAAAAGAGTTCTTTGCTTTGCCCTCTGTGAATGGAGTGCGGGTTAACCACTTTTAAAGAATGTGCTTTCTGTTTCAGAAGGTTACGTCCATGCTGTGCTCTTGGCTCTGTGTTGCACTGTAGTGTGCTGAAAATCAGAGTTCAAAGGTCATTGTCACCCATCCCATAGAGCCAAAGGCTTTGATCAGTGCTTTGAAACTGATAAACAGCAGAGAGGGTATCCTAGTGTTAACTAAACATTGAGAAATGTAAAAGTACACCATTTAGGGATGAAGATCAGCAGTTCCAGACTTTTTTCCTTGGAAGTAGTATTGTCATGTCTTCCCATTCATTCAATTTCTTGATGTATAACTTTGCCAACTAAATGTATAAGAACAGGTTTGACATAAGCTGAGTTCTGTGTTTCCTTGGAGGAGCTGTACATTAAGCCCCGGATATTTTTAACATCTCAGATATTTTTTACTGGAAAAAAATATAAATTTATACCCTCATAGAGGAACAAAGGAAAAGGGTTTCAAGACTTAAAAGATGTGGCTATTTAGCTTAAAGCTACCTTTTGCATTTATGTGTGAGAGTGAAGCAAGCGTGGTCATGCTCTTCCATTTCATTTAGCGATCATGGTTCTACTGTTTAAATATTTAAAGGCTTTGTAGTTATTTATTTCTTTGAACTGTGTAATAATTTTAAACCATTGCGGGTTCTGGACCTTACAGGTTTTCAGCAGTGACGCCTAACTCCACTCTTCAGGGGCTGCCACCTGGCTGTTAAGTTAATCCTGAATATTTATTTTAGTTGGGAGTTGGAGGAGTAGTTGGAATAAAAAGTCTAGGATCGTCGGAGAGGTACTGGGCGCCTCTGTGTTAATCTGGGAACAGGACCAGTGACTTTAAATCAAGCTTATCTTGAAAGTGTGTGAATTGGAAAGGATTTAGAGCAGTGGTTCCCAACCCTGGTCCTGGTGACCCACACACCCATTGGGTTCTGTTCCACAAGAGCCCCCAGTGACCCAATCAAACCCTTTATTGACTTGACAGTAAGATTAATTTGTGCTGTTTGTTCCCAGTGCTTCATAGATCAATTAAGGCTTCAGTTACCTAACGAAGGTGGGATGGAATGAAAACCAGCAGGTGTGTGGGTCACCAGAAGCAGGACTGGGAAGAACTCATTTAGAGGAAGCCGCAGAAATGAATTTACTTGGTTTTCTGGAGACTGCCTAATTTGGGTTACAGGTACAGCTGTAACAGCGAAGCTCTTCAGATAATTCCCAAATTGTCTGGGGAGCAAAATGCTGGCGGTGATGTTTCAGATCCCCTCACTCCTCTTTCCTTCCCCCCAACCCCCCCGTCCCCCCCCCGTCTCGCAGGGATGACGGTAAGTGCGGTGGCGGCCCTGATCCTCATGACGACGTCCATTGTGTCGGTAGTGGGATCGCTGTACCTGAGCTACATCCTGTACTTCGTGCTGAAGGACTTTTGCATCATCTGCATCACCACGTACGCGCTGAACTTCATTCTCTTTGTCCTCAACTACAAGCGGCTCGTTTACTTGAATGACGCTTGGAAGCAGCAACTCCAAGCCAAGCAGGACTAATCGTCAACCCTCCCCACCTCTGAACTCTCTGACTTGCCACCAGGAGACCTCTGCTTCCACGATGTTCATTCTGCAGTTTAAAAACAAATCATCCGTTGGGTGACGGAGATCGCAAGTACCATGAGTAAGAGAGAAGGATTTAAAAAAAAGAGAGAGAAAAATCAGCCTTTTTTAATCTTTTTTTTTTGTTTGTTTTCTTCATTTTTCCATTATCTGCTTCCTGTGTTGACATTCCTTTCCAGGAGGTGGACAGGGGAAACAAGAAGACAAGCGAGCACTGACGAACCTTAAATGTCTTTTACATTGAACTTGGAGGACACCCCAGTCTAGGGGAGGAAAATGAACTTTTAAAGTTGTATACTTGAAATGGATAGGAAGATCAGTTCCTGTATGCCTGAGCTGTACATCAATCTAAAGGAACTTAATTAAGAGGAAAATAATTGCATGATCATAAGGTTACTGTACAGTTCATGTAATGATTCCAAGAACAGAAGTGAAAAGAAAAATGTTTTTGTTTACAATATGTTTTGAAAAGGACCACTAATATTGCATTACGGAGGAGAACTTGCAGCTTTTTAATGTAGAGCTCTCAGATTTTCTGACCAAGTTAGCCTCCTTTTTACTTTGTGTAAATATCTGCTCTGTTAATATTCCAGGATAGGTAGAGCTCTATGTTTTAGTGTTGTCGGAGAAAAAAAAAACTGGACTGAAATCAGTGCTGATCTGGAACAATATTCCCAAAACGTGTTTGCAACTGCCATGACCACAGTAGTTTCCACAAGTCGGGCTGAGGCCAAGTGCTGTTCTGGGCTCTGCTGATGCATATTAACTAAGAAGTTGTAAGTCACCTGCCTGGGTCACTGAGGGTTACAATGTGCTTGCTTTCACCCTCCTGTTAAAACAGTAGAACTGGATTTTACCAGGATCAAAACTAAGACCGTACCCTTTGTTTTCTTGCTGGGAGCACGTAAGTAGCAAGTTCCCAAAACCGCAGTTTCCGTACAAGAATCGCATAGAAAGCACCTGAGAACCAGTTTTCGATCGGATTTCTTTGAGGGATTCAGCAGGTCTCATGGGTAATGTAATGTAGCATGTAATCATGGCACGAGGCATAGGACTTGCTGCTTAAAGTTATGTAGACGTGCATAGCTGTAGTTTGTGGTCATTTCTAATGGGCTCTTTATTCAGCCATTCATACAGCTTAATGAACTGTGCACCATTTTATTAAAAATCATGGTCAGAAGGGTTATTTACAATTGTTGTATCATTTCCAAATTCTGCTAAGCTGCAATCGTATCTAGAAAGAAGGTAAATTCCTTATGTCGGGCTTCTCAACTGGTTTGCCTGAAATCCCAAGTTAGTCATTTCTAGAGTAGTCCTTGAACTGGTCATTAGGATGTTGCAAGAGGACAGGTAAAGCCTTATCAGTGGCCAGTGGGCTTTGAAAACCTTATTAATTTTGCTAAAGAGAGATTAGTGTGTTTTACCAGTGAATATGCTATCTGATACAGAGTAGAATTCAAATTGTGCTGTAGCATCTTGTATTATAGGCTTACAAGCACAGTGGGCAGTGGGGCACTGATTTCTTGTAGGTCTAAGAAATGTCATGTTTTCCATTAAATGGCCCATTTTTACAGAATTGTGCTATTATACAATATGTTGGTATGCTTAACCTAAAAGGTTAAGGTTGGTTCTTCAAAGCAGGTTTTCATATATTAGGTCCATGGTTAAATAACTGTCTAAACACTCTTGTGTGATTTACTTCTGTTTTCTAAAGTATTCCAAGCTTAAATGTAACAATTGTACTTTAAGCCACACATCTACATTAATGACTAATGTGTATTTGGGGATTTTTATGCCTTCTGTCAAGTTTTTGCTCACTGCTCTTTGTAGTGCTGAATGCCTGGAAATGTCACTGTTAAAAGAAATCTGTCTGCTGTGGGTATGGTGCTGGCTAGTTTGTAGGTATCAGGTTTTTTGTGCACATCCTACTAATTGGCAGGGATTGATGTTGGTGGTTGTTGTGCAGTCAGAATAGTTCTTCCTTGCATTGTTCCACTCCCCACAAATACTTCCCAGAAGGCTGTGCTTTTCCTTGGTTATATGCCCAAAATGGGTAACCTAGCACCTGATACCTCACAATAGCTAAAAAATGCTTTGTAAAACCTGCCAAGGAACGAGAAGCAAGTTTGGTTCTGTAAGTCAGACACACCCACACTAAGGAGCTTACATGCTTTTCTGCTATCAGAACTCAAGCCATTTGTGTCATTGTGCAGGATTGCATAACAGCATAGGGTCACAATAATAACATTGAAGCTGGTGGCAGCTAGTCTTTTCTGAACAGAGCAGAGTTGAATCTGTGCTTGTTGATAACGATGTAAACCACTGTAGTGCAAAATGAAAAGAAAAACATTTGCAGTTGTCTGCTGTAGAAATCAAAGTATGCATTACTGTCCTGTGATAATCAGCAGCAAGGTTTTTTTTTTTGGTTTGTACTCGGAACGTGTGTTATGTGGTCTTTGTCAGCAGTCCCGTTTAATCCTTGCAGTGCTGGAACCTGGTTTTGGTTGTGGCATTGAAATAAAGCATGTAGAATTTCCAGTTAGCCTGGTATGTCTGCAAAATTATGCTCTTAGTTGAAAAGAAAAAAATTGCTTCGCAACTCTGAACAGTTTGATTGGGAGCTACTATTTTTGTTTGTTAGTTTTCCACATAATTGGATCACTAATATTCATTTAACCAACACCCCCAGAAATGTTTTGAGTTTAATTGGTTCTGTGAATAGACTGTCAAGATTAAATAATAGCAGTTCAACATTGACTTAATCCCTGGATCTTAAAATATAAGAGTTTCACGTGACCACAAGAAAAGGAGAAAAAGTGCCTTCTGTTTAACACTAGACCTTGAGTTGGCCACATTCTTGTCTTGTTAAACAATAAATGGCAGTTGGCTCTTTTGCTTGCCTTTGAGGTTTATTACATTCATTTGAAGTCCCTTGTTAAGCTCTGTTAGTCTGATTTATAGATGTTGTAGGAGAGCACAGCCTACAAAATCCCCATTGTCAGACCTCTTGTGCTGTTTTTTTTAGTTTTGTGCAAGTATTTTGTAATGCAATTATTTTTCCCCCGGTGACAGTGATGGTTCTCGGTACCAAGTGGCTTCTTTTGTACATCTTTCATTATTTTTGTTCTGTTTACACACTTTGAGGACGGTTTTACACTGATTTTTTTTTGTTGTTAGTGAAGTTATTTTCCTTCCAGGGGGACTTGTAAGGTGAAGTATTATGCCCTTTCACGGTGTAGAAAGAGTTCACACTATTTAGGTGGTTTGGGTAGAAAATGCTTGAAATGGGTCAGAGGTCAGGGATTTGTCAGTGTCGAGTTTTTGTTTGGGAAAACGGTTTTTAAGGGTTGCTTCTGTATTATTTTGCCAAACATAAGTTGATGAAAACGCTGTATTTTCTTACATGAAAAGTGTTACATGAAGGTAGGTAAAAATAAATAAATCTCACAATCTAAAGTTCCCATCATTAGATACTGTATGAGAGGTGTTGCGTGTGATGACACTACATTGAACACTTGAACCGTGTCACTGTCGTGTGGAAATGGTCAACCATTAAAACATTCCCTCTTAATTGACATTTCTGTTCTTCTTGAGTCCCTAGTGTCTGTGATCTCCCAGCGTGCACTGCAGCATCTTGATGAGCACATGCATGACATGGAATTGTGTAGGGAATCCAGCAGCACCGCAGATCGCCAAAATAAGTACCTGAGGCTCTTGGGATCATCCAACTTATTTGCCTGCAAGTCGCTAAGCGAACTGAGGATCTCATCCAGCTGCTCCTTGAAAGAAGCCAGGGTTATGGGCTTCTACACGATGGGGTACCTTGTTCAATATTCCCACACACTTTGGCAAATATTCTTCTTGCTCTCAAAGTTAAATGTAGCTCCCTACATTTCCACTCGTGTCCTTGGGGTCTGTGGCTCCCTGTAGATTATGGAGAAGGTCTTCTCTGTTGAAAACTGTAAAGATTGAGTGCCTTGAGCCCAGGGGTGGGACATCCTGGGCAGAGAAAGGAGCATTATACATTTTAGGTTTCCATATAAGTTTCTGTTGTGGTACATCTGCAGGTTTTGACTGCAACTCCCTTCTTGACAAGTGAAATCGGCTGCTTGCTGGTTTAACTGGGCCAGTTGAACAGCTGCTCCCAGACCTTGGGGCGCTGCGGCCTTAGCAGACCTAGAAAACCTGCAGAGCCACTGGCCCTCCAGGAGCTCTGGTCCAGCTCGTCCATGTAGGAGGTTTCCTTTCAAGCCTGGAAACGTGTCTGTCGGAGGAAGTACCTCTCCAGCTGACAGGTAGGGATGGCCAACTGGAAGAAACGTGAAGCTCTCATCTCTCATGACCAAACATTTTGATAAAGAAAGGTGGCGAAGTGGTTGGCGTATGCCGTGCTGGGGCCCTAGGTTCATTTCCAGACGTGGGGTCCTATCTGTGTGGAGTTTGCATGCTATTCCCGTGTCTGTGTGGATTTCCTCTGGCTACTCTGGTTTCCTCCCCGCAGGCTAAAGACGGACTGGTAGGTTAATGGCGTCTGGGAAAACTGTCCCTAGTATGGGGGTGTGTGTGTGTGCCCTGCAATGTATTGCTGTCCCGTCCAGGGTGTACCCCACTTCTGCCTCGTGCCCCTTGCTTGCTGGGACAGGCTCCAGCTTGCCCACGATCCTCAGCTGGGGGCGGTAAGAGAATGGATGGATTTTGATAACGAGTTAGATTATATCTTGTAGCTGCATTTGTAACCATGCTTGTTAAAGGGAAGGGGGTTCATCTCGTGTAAGACTGTTGCGCAGTACTACACCAAACCATCCACCTGTTGTCTTAGTCTTTCATTCACGTTGGCTTTTTGTTCTCCAGCTACAAAGGGGACAACATCTGTTCTGGTCTTGGAAGTGTTAATCTCTGTGCGGAGAGTTCTTCCTCTTGCAGCTTTGTTGGAGCTACACTGAAGTGATAACGAGCCTATCTCCCTGCTTTCAGAGATGAAGAGGCACTTCTTCTTTTGTTTCTGGTTAAGAAGTAGGCTGAGCCGACATTTTGCTAGTTAGTACAGCAAATATTATAGGAGTTTTGTAATCTGAAAGTATGGCATATATATATATAAATATTTGGCATGAAGCAACTGTCTTGATAAGGCTTATGTGCTCATATATGAAACATGTAAAAAGACTTTTACTACTTACACTTGCTGAAGGGCCAAAGGTTTTTGATTTAAAAATTGTACTAATCTCCTTCTTACAACTTTGAGATTATTTTTTCCCCATCTTATGAAATTTTGTATCTTTTCAGCTTAACTATTTGAATACTTGGACTACTGCCTGCCAGAAAAAGTGTACATGCCTTCTCAGTCAGCCAGGTATATGAAAATTATCATTTTGAAAGGGAAATATATCCAGCACTGAAGGCGGACTGACTGCCCACTGCTTATTGTTCAATTGTGGTCATTATAAGCCCCCTTTGGTTAGCTGTGTCTCACTGCCACATCAATGGGTCCAGATATAGTGTAGTATTCAGTCCTGCTCTTTATTCACCAGCCCTGAATTAACCAGTTTTATGCTCAGGTGATGTATTTGACCAGGGGTGAACAATGTTAAACACCAGTAAGTGTTGTAGGGTCCAGGCAGCTGTTGTCAAAATATTGATTGGCAGATTATTTATTATGGTTGATATAAATACCTGTGCTGAAGAAGACATATGTTTGTACAGTAGTCGGGGGGTGTCAGAATTGTGTCCAATGTGTTCTGACTGGTTATACAGTAGTACCCTTGAATGAAGGCAGCTGATAACACTAACAGTCACTGTGACAGAGCAACTGACTACCTGAGTAGCAATCTGGTCAGGCCCTTGTTTAATGATTTTGATTACTCTATATTGGCCGTAATATACATGCCTAGAAAGGGGCAGTATTATAATCCTTATAAAACACTTAACTCTTCAGCTACAGTATATTCAACTATTACAAATTGCTGACAGACTTTTTCTAAACTTTTATTGATCAGCATAAGATTTTGAACAAGTACAAACTTCCCCCTTGGGGAAAAGTCTGCAAAGGTCCTGAAAAGTTTTTTTTTTAATTGTAGTTTTAAAAATAGACATACTCTGAGTTCCAAAAGCATAACCATTAGCACTCTTTTTCACCTGAACACATTTCATTTTTAAAAATATATATACACAAGAGGCAGGTTACAATGCTCTCAGTGTTCTTGATAAAAATCTTGTGAAACACCTGTTCCATTTAAATATTTTTCTTCCTTGTTTGGAAGAAAAATATCAGTTGCCTTAATCAGTGAAACCGTAGTTGGCACAAAATGTATCTAAACCAGTTCACTGGTTAAATACGCAATGCTAACTGATCGAACTGAAAATCAGAGGCTAGAGGACTATAGCACAAGATCACTGATCATAAGTCCAATTTTGTTCACCGCTTATTTTAAACACTGATGTTTTTTTTAAAGCCCCAACTCACTGTTCTGTGACCTCATTTAATTTAAGAGAGAGGAAAAAATATCCCAGAAGCTAGTTTGTTCTACACAAAGCAAATGGGATGAGCTCTGCAGTGCTTGCTGAAAGAAGTAAAATGAATTGGGGAATAAAAATTGTTTGAGTCTGGTTTGCAGCTACTGCATTAGGCAGGTTGATGGAGGTTGCTGTTGAAAGTTAAGCTGAGCTGGGCTTAGACCAATTCAGAAAGGGGCAGATGTAGCAGCACTACAGCAAGTTGGAGGCTCAGTTATTAGATTTCTCATCTTGGGCAGATTCTGCACACTGTGGTCAAAAACAGAAGGGGTCTATCTCCTGTGTAATAACAATAACAATACCAATAGAAAAGGGGGAACTCGTGTTCCTCTTAACCAATATTGCAAAACGTCTTAGTGATTGAATTAAATAGAAACAGTTTTCAGCTATGGAAGGAAAAAAAAGTCTCCAGACTTGAGGCCCGACAGTGAACGCCACCGTCTTCAGCCCGCAGTGCAGGCTACAGTGATTTCTGGAAGCGTTGTTGGAACCAGGGTAGGAATAAGGCACTATTCGTGAGTAAGGCTGAAAGGTCGGTCCACCGGTCCCCTGCTGTGGAACGAGCCAGGCCGAGGGTTGATGCCCTCACTCCTGTCACGCGCAGGGATATCTGCCCCAGGGGGGCAGGCGGCCCGTCTCGTTGGCCAGTCTCCAGTACCGCTCCCTCAGCAGGAAGGCCCCGGCTTTGGGCTGACGCTGACGGCTGAAGATCCCCTTCTTATTCCCAACCACGCGGGTGATGGCTGCAAGGTTGAGGGAACATCTATTACTGTAGCCGACGAACGGCGTCCAGAACAGTAAGGCACTGCTGGGCGCCTCCCTCCCTCTTAAAGGGGAACTGCACCAGTGTTTTTCTATTGCGGGGTCAGAAAGAATCAGCAGTGGTGAGTGCAGTTCAGTTTCAGGAATGCTCAGCTCCGTAGTGTCGTCATTGTGATTTAGGATGAGGCAACCAGACTTCCACTGATGGGAAGCAGCCCTTTTACACTATAAATAAGCAGGCTTGTGAATACGTCTCTTTTAATCCACTAGAACTACTGTTCTCGACCTCAGAGCAGTTTTGCCCAGGAATACTACTTGTCAGTTCTGAGTGCAGATCATGTTGGAATATTCCTGCGGTGAAATGGCTGCTGTACGATCTGTACTTATCCGCTCATACGGTACATCCCATTACACTAGCCCTTGGAGACGACTCGCGAGCAGGAAGGGCCACATCACATCGCAATTCTCGCAAGCTCTTGCTCTTGGCCTTGGTTTGCAACAACACCGACAACCATACAGTACTTTCGCGAAGTTCGCGATTTGTGCCCAATTCAAAATTTGTCATTTTTTTTTGTGTGCCATCAATAAATCTGTTACTGAGATTTAATAACCGTTCTGAGAATTGTGGACTGCAGTTCCCCTTTAAAAGAACGTGCAAGAGAGCCCATGACAAAGCCAAACTATTGCACAATTGGGCATAATAGGAAGTGATAATTCCTCCCCTTACCTACTCACTATACTGAAACAACGGATGACTTGAGATAGTTTTCATACAAAAATCAAGTGTTTCTGTTGTCGCTATGGCAGCCTCACTGGGCAGGAGTGCGTGTCTCACAGTGTCGGCAGGGAGCCCTCCCAAGCACAGAGGGTAATTATTAACTTTCCGTCATGCCATATGTGTTTGGCCAAAAAACAAATGTCTGACATATAGACTTAAAACAAAAGATCCCTTGCTTTGCCCGAACACAAAATCCTTTCAAATCCCACGCTAGTTGGAATAAAATATTACAAAATATGGCGGAAGCAGCAGCAAGTTCTGAACACCTGTGCTGAACAGCTCGGCCTTCCGAGCTTTAGAAACACTTCTGAAAATAAAACTAACATTTTTGTATTTCTGAAACAGTTCAGAAAATGAAAACTGACCTCTTTCACAGGCCAGCTTAGAAAAGCACTGGTCTAGCTGTAGTCTCTAGTGGATTTCCATATTCTACACTTACTAAATGTAAACATAAGCTAAGTTTGAGTTACAGTATCAGTGGAGCAGTTACTTGCATATCTCTTCTTAGCTGTTAACTAAGGGTATTTGTTTGGTCAGCTGGCAACCTAACAAAAAACTGAATAAGGGCTGATTTGATAGATCCTCAGGTACATGGGAGTTTTAATTCTGGTAAGTGTAGTTCAGGTTGTACTAAGTTAAATAACTTACATTCAGCACATATGAATGAATAGTAATAACAAGAGTGACCACAGAATTCTATTCTTGGGGAGACGGATAATAACCGAAAAGACTTCCATTCCTAATTCAGACTTTTCAGGTTCCAGGTTACGGAATGGATGGTTAAAATGACTCTTACTCTGTGCCGTCATGAAGTCGGCAAAGTTCCAGATGAGTTCACCAATGACATACTCCTTCCTCTTCTGGTCAAACACCGCGTGATAGTTCTGCAGTACAGTCTTCTGGTACTCCTCGGTGAACATCATCGGAGGATCCTACAAACACACGTGGAATGCTTTTGGAATTGGCTGGGTCAGCAGGATGCCGTCACTGCTACAGACGGACTGGTGATTACATTTTTTCATTGCACATTTCACATGCAGAATAGTGACATTAAAAGGTGGCATCTCAGCAATTGAATATTCTAAACCAAGTTTATAACCTACGAGAACCAGACTCGTTCAGATCATAGGCCGGGCTTTGTAACCCAGATATTGCTAGCTTGAGATTTGCTCATGTCACTACAAGACCGACTGTGATTCTCCAAGAGATTGGCCGTTAGTCAAGTGTTCAGCTCATTCTGTGCAACAGACGTTCTTGAGACTTGCTGACAGCCAGCAAGATCTGCGAGAGATGCACCCCCTCTCATGTCTCACAGCAGATGACATGATATGTAGCTCTGCGGGCAGGTTTATCGGAGGAGAACAAAGTATAATGTGGTTTACTTAAACTTAATAGATTAAGGTGGCTCAGACCCTTGGAGTCACAACTCTAAATGCCCATTGAATTTACTGTTTGTATGGTATACATATCCAGAAAGATCTTTCCCATTTGGCTCTTATGCTTTTCCTATAGCACTGTGTTGAGTGAACCCCTTACCAGCAGTGCTCTGCTGCATGAGTGTTTTAATGAAGGATGTCTCTGTACTCACAGTGTGTAATCCAGGAACAACGTCTGCCCCGTATTCACTCTGAATGATGGGCTTCTCATACATGCGGTACCAGTTCTCAAACTGGGTGTTCAACTGGATCTGAATGACCTCCGGGTGCCCAGGGTCGTGGTACCACGAGAAATAGCTGTTCACGCAAATCACATCCACATATGGGGCCTTTCGAGGGAAACACAGATTAGTTTGCCTACAGCACTCCGGTCATGATGCAGAGAGGAATCACACAGCGTCCATTCTTGATCTCCAAGCTTTTACTCTCATCTTCAGCAGGAGAATCAAGAGTTTTCTATAGCTTCTGAATACAGAACGAAATGCCTCTTTCATCTGATAACTATACAGGCTTTTTGAACAGCATTTTTAAGGAAAAAGCAACAAGGCACAAGGCCTTGGCAAATGTGTAGTGAATTAAAGAATACATGTGTATTAAACACTAAAAAGAAACGATATAAACCACTCACTTTTGTGAAAATCAATTTACAGTGACCTTCCATTAAAGTCTTCTATTAACTGCAAACCTCCAAAAGAAACATTAATCTCGATTACAGTTGTTAACCAGATTTTGATTTATGTCAAATGTCTTTGTGTTAAGTACAAATAAGATAATGAGGAACACTGATGGATTCTCAAACAGTTTAAACTGTGGTTGAACAGGTTTCAAATAGTGTTTAGAAGGCAGTACAGTACCAGATGCCTTTGAACCCGAGTCACCACATATGTGATTTTGCTTCAGATTTTGAAACGTGCTACAATCAAGCACAATGATACTGACCCCCTTATCTCTGGCAAAATTGCTGTCCGAAACAAAGGTGACAGGCCGAGACCGATCCAGGGATTTGGTGTGTTCTATCACTGACCTGCAGAGACATTTCATGACAAAAGAAAATTACTTTTGTGCTGGAGTTGTCAAATATGAGTTCGGTTTCAGAAGTATTCAGACATCTGAAGGTCAGAAAGGCATCCTATATTTGTTCCTTGGGTTTGTCTCTTTCTGTGGTTCTTTTGTTTGATATCTTTAAACTCCCCTTCAGCACATTTTTCCCTTACAATGACGCTTTCCTAGGACTCCTCAAACGGCATTCCAGCAACCGAAGCTGGTGACTGGCTCTGCGTACAACACAAACGCCCACACCCAGCTACTACACCCTGCGTGGAACTATGTCCTCACAAAGCAAATGCCCAAAATGACATTCCATCATAAAACTCGCCCTCTTAAGTCTACAAACACTTTGAGATTTGTAGGGAAGCCCTAGACTGGAATCCTCAAGGATCCCACAGGAGAGGCAGACCCAGAGGGACCTGGCGCCACAGCTTGAACAGCGACATGATGGCTGCCGATAAACAGCTTACTTGGCAACAAGTCAAGGCCATGGCTGGGAACCGGCCGAGGTGGAAATCTCTATTATTGGCACTATGCGTCTATGAGACGGTGCTATAGCACCCTGACTGACTTGACTAGTCAATTTTTTAACAAGAAGAGGTTAAGTCTGCACTGAAATATATAAAGAACAACGATATCGGTCCACATGTATACAGCTACTCCTCTTGCTTGCTGTAATTTCTGACTACACAGCTCCTCCTGGTTGATGATGAACAGCCGCAGGTGGCAATGACACGGCCTCATACAACTCCCACAATGAACATTTTTCCCTCTGCAGAGGTCCATCCAAGTTCTTCAATTTAACACCTGAATGAGGGCAGTTCTGAAACTCGGATTTAGTACCGTGCTCATACCTGCTACAAATCCCACCTGATCATTTAAGATCAGAAAGCGAATTAACAAATGTGCTCTGAACAGAAAACCGAAATCAACTGGCCTGTGATTGAGAACGCTGCTGTCTCTTCTGCTCCAGCCGAGAGAGTGCTCCTCCACTCTCCACTGCTGCAGGCTATGGGTCTGCTCCTGAGCTCTTTAAAGGTTTAAAACATTCTCATGTACCGCTATCAGCCTTACTTGAAATAGAAACCTGCAGGGGGCATCTCGGAGGCGGGCTCGTTGGCGACAGACCACATCACCACGGAGGGGTGGTTCTTGTCCCTCCTCACCAGCTCCTCCATCACAACCAGGTGGTGCGCCAGGGACTCGTTCCCAAAACTGCGGCTAAGAGAAAGCAGACGTCAGCCGGGACAGCTGTTGGCAGCCTGACGCCTGTTCTGAGCAGATTTAAATCATGTGCAAATGCACACATACCAGTAAGGGGTTTCGTTAATTCCCAGAAACCAGAGAGCTACATTCGGAGAAGCTCACTGATTCACGGACAGTTGGGCACTGAGCTACGACAGTCAAGCATGTGCATGTCAACAACAGCTTCATGTCATGGTAGAAGTGGTGGCTCGGTCTTAAATTTCTATCATCCAGGTGGATGCTGCACATTGGTGGTGGTTGAGGGAGTCCCCATTACCTGTGAAGCGCTTTGAGTGGAGTGTCCAGAAAAGGGCTATATAAGTGTAAGCTATTATTATTATTATAATACAGGGGCTTTTCCTGTGAACTTAACATTGACCTGTTATGTAGCTATAATATCATGTTATATATACAGTGCTTTTCATCCCAAAGGATCCCAAAGTTTTACGTGGGGACCCACCTAATAACACAACCAAAATGTAACACCCTCCTGGGTGACACATCATAGCCAGTTTTTGCCAGCAGCCTCTCTTCACAGAAGGTCAGATGAAGAAATGAGAAACTGCTTCCCAAGCTGAATTTATGGAACTCTTCAGGAAGGCAATACACAAGCAGTCTGGAGTTTAGCCAGGATATTCACCTCTAGCTTTTGGAATGGTGACATGGGATTGTTCATGTCCAAGCAGCAAGAACCTCAGTTTCACACGATGTTTCGTTGCTGAAGAAAGAGGGAAGCCTACTGGTTCAGCAACTTAAAGCAGTAGCCTGCTTTTCCTTAGGAGATCTCCCATCCCAGCACCAAACAGGCCCAGCCTTGCCTAACTTCCCAGGTCTGACAAAATCAGACGAGAATGACAGGATCTAAAGTCTCCAGAGTTAAGCCCCTGCAAACAGCAGCTATGGCACACAATCCAGAGTGAATACAAATGCCCCTTGGCAGAGCCTTACATGTCCTTGATGCCCACGCCGGGGCATTCGTCGATGACCACGATGCCGTGGCGGTCACACAGCTCCAGGATCTCCTCGGCGTACGGGTAATGGCTGGTGCGGAACGAGTTGGCGCCGAGCCACTTCAGAAGATTAAAGTCCTTGATGATCAGGGGCCAGTCCAGCCCCTTCCCTCTGATCTGTTCCAGGGGAAAAAAACACAGCATGCACCGACCTTTCTCTCATTTTTAAAGAACATTTGTGCCCTGAATGGTATATGTACTAAAACCAATATTACTTACAACATGTATAATAGGATGCAATAATTTCTTTAGACTTGAAATTCTGAATTATTAGCACATTTAATCCGTCTTAAGTGATTCTTTTAACAGGGAAAATGTTATACCCTACTTAATGGGCAATAAAAAGAGAAAAAGTGACTGCTGGAGTTTTGATCAACAAATGAGAAGACTAAGTACTGTATGAAGTACTGTATTAATTTCTTACTCAGTTCAGAGCAGCTCTTCACTGCCACCTACTGGTGCTGAAACTTACATCCGAATCCTCATGCTTGTTCACCCCATGGAAGTAGAAAGGCTTATTGTTGATGAGGAACTGTGTCTTTGTGACCTGCACAGTGCGGATCCCAACGGGCAGTGTGTAATAATCCTCATACTGTGAGCCGCCAGATTTGGCACTCATGTGCACCTGCAAAACAGCAAAGCATCAACTGCAGGCTTGTTCAGTCACGAAGACTACAGACAACACCCAGATCATGCAGTAACAACGAACAGTTTTTGTAGCAGGCAGAAGCTGTCAGTGCATGCACCTGCAACCAAAAGATAGCCATAAAATGAGGAGTGAGGTAAATAGACATTTTACATTTTTGCAAGTTAGCTCAGTGAATGCAGTTCAAGACAAAACTCAATCGGACACGTACCTCCAGAGAATATAGATACCCGGGGTTTTCATGCATCAGATAGGGCCACCAAAGGTTCACATCTGCCACTTTGAGTGTCCCAGAGGTGCCACTGGCTGTGGCGACACTGCGACGGTCCTTATCAGACAAGTTTACCGTCACCGTCACATCCTGGCTGCCCTGGATGGACACCTGGTAGCTTACTAGCCCTGAAACCGAGACCCAACAACAGCAGTTTTCACACCTGCCATTAGACAGCACTTTGTTAGCAAGCGGTTGTTTTAAGGACCTGCTGAGATCACTTGGATGCACCTGTTAATTTTATCACACATGGTCATTTTCTATCGGTCTTCTCTACATTGTCTGTTGCCGTTTCTTTCCGGCATTCATTGGGTATTCCAGCCCTGAAAAGCAACATTCCCAAACTGTGAAATGACACTAGGGGCACATGCAACATCCTTTCAAGAATTTTCTTCAATTTTCTTGGTTTGTTTGCTTCAAACCACAATACCATATCAGCACTGCCAATCACAAGACATTGAATTGGGTAATCAAACCTAACTACAGCTCTGAAAGGCAACCACTTTCAATGTCTTCACTTAAACAGACCCAACAGACTGGTGGATGTGTGCGTCACCACATGAGTTCGGACCCAAGCAATGTGTTCCCATACCTGTGTTATCCTGAAAGCTGGTCTGCACTGTGATGTCATCGATGTGTGCCAGAGGTGTTGTGTATAGAAGGACAGGGCGGTGAATTCCAGCATAGTTAAAGAAGTCAAAGTTCGTGTTCTGCACAAAGTAGCCAGCTGGGTACCTGTTCAATCACACCAAACAAGACAGTAGGTCCCTAAAGGTGCCTCAGATGCCAGTTTCCACAAGTACAGTATACCAGAAAATTCTCATCCTGAAAAAAAAGGCTAATAAGTATTGGGAGGGCCAGTTCTTCCACACTGTTAATAACAAAATATGTGAAGGTGGCACAGTGCACCTTATCCATCCATCTTCTCACTGCTTTATCCAATTCAGGGTCGTGCGGGAGAGGGAGCCTATTCCAGCAAGCAACAGGCACAAGACAGGATACACCCAGGACGAGAAACCAGTCCATCGCAGGGCAGACAGATACTAACACAGTCATGCACACAGTCACACCATTAACCTACCAGTATGTCTTTAGACTGTGGGAGGTAACCAGAGCATGCAAACACAGAGAGAACATACAAACTCCATGCAGACAGCATGCCAGGTATGAAACTCAGGGCTCCAGCACTGTGAGGCAGTGATGCTAGGCACTGCACCACAATACCTCCCTGAATGAGACTTCAGTGGAATTTCGTGGTAAAGATAGTGGATTACCTGTACAGAACATGCTAATGCTAAGATGCGGTGAAAGACTGTGGCGGAGGTTCTCAAGTGAATGCTGACCTAGGTGCTCCTACAAATCATACAGGCTTGTAAGCGCTCACCTTGTGGGATCGTTCATGTACTGGATGGTCCCGGGCGGCAGCGTGCGCAGGGTCAGGGTGTTGTTGACTGCGATGGTGATCCGGCAGAGCTGCGCGGGATCCTTTCGGATCAGATCGCTGATGTCGGCTTCGAAGGGGAGGTGGCCTCCCTCATGTTGGGTCACCTCGACTCCGTTAACCCACTGAAAAGGAACCGACAGTAACGCCGACTTCGAGGAGCCATTAATGACACTTTTCACCTGCCCAAGTGTCTTCCTCCTTGTCGATCATTCTGCCACTGAGGATTACCAAACCACGCTGGTCCTGTTTATGGGACGTGGCTTTGCAAGGCGAGATTATACACGCCAAGACCTTCAAACACAACCAAAATACAACCCCAATTTCACTGTCTCCAGAAAAGTGAAGCAGGAAAGGCTCCAGATCCACCAAGCCTGCAACATGATGCCACCACATGCCTACCTATAGCGCAGAACAGAAACAAGCCAATGGGCACACAAGCATGTCACCTCCTGCCGCTCGTTACTTTGTGAGCTAGGAGGATTCACACACCTCTCCTGCCTGCACACGAATAGGGTTCATGTTAACAAATAGTTTCAGCTATTTATGCATGTTTTGTATTTTAGTGTTCGATTTCTTTGCAACAGCAGCTTGTTTTCACATCTGGCAGATATGAGAAGCTGGTCCACTCTTTACACTGCCTGGACAAACATCAGAAATGAATGGCATGCAGCTCTTGTGCTACACATCGGAGTGCTCGTTTCCTGAAACGGGAAGAGAACAACAGCACTCCTTCCTGCTGTGTCCACTGCAGGAGTTGCTCAACAAGTAAACTGTGGTTTTTTCTTTTTTTTTGCAATGCCAACGTCCTGCTGATCTTGCGATATCTGTAAGCTCTTGCAAGGCTGAGATAAGGGGTATTGCAAAGCCGGTCCGGTGCGCTTGTTCCTCTCCGCACGCCGCCCCTCGAAGTGTGTAGGGCTGGAAGGGAGGAGGGCTACTCACCACGACAGAGAAGTAGTGAGCGCTGCCCACGCGCAACACCACCCGCTGCCCCCTGTCCACCAGCCATCGTCCCGGGATCCACGCCTCCCTCTCATACCACACCCAGCCGATGAAGTCCCTCAGCCGCGGGTCCTGAGACATGTCGTTGAAGCTCGCTGGGACGGGCATGTCGCTCACGGGGCCTGTCTGCACCACACAGACAGAGATACAGTGCCAGCAGGTAGATGAATGAAGATTGACGGGGGCCGTTTATTTCCACAGAAAATAATAGAACGGCTGAGCAAACCCTGCTATGCTCCCAAAACTTTGGCCCAATAAGTCAAAAGCACAAAGAAGACAAGCTAGGCTGAGGCTGGAGGGTCTCCTCTCTGTTTCCTTGTCGTGGGCTTTTTCAAGACAGCTTTGTGTAATTAGTGAAACCATCTTGCACTATAAATACGCATTTATAATTTATCATTTATAATACTGCTAGTTGTATTATGTTTCCTCCCCTATGGCATTTATAGCTGTTCTGACAGACATAGGAATTATGGGATCTGATTTATTTTGAGGCTGAATGTCTAATCTATGAGTATTTCTTACACTGTGGGAGGAAATGTGTCACTGTCTCTGCTGCCAATCGAGAGTACCGTATTTAACAGAGCTTCTCTTTCCTCCTTACCTGCAGCAGTGCATGGTGTGAGATAGACATACCAGTACAGCGTCTAAGAGTTTAATTTCCAGTACATGATAGAAGACTGACTACTGCTACAGCATGCAGAAAGGTTGGCAATAGCACAGAAACTGGAATATACTGGGTTTAGGTTTGGAATAGATAAGTGAGGGAATAGATCTCATTTATAAACAGAAACATTTTTCTTCAGTGCACAGTGCGTGTTCATAATGGATACGGTACTTTACTATTTTTGCATTGTATCATTTAATCTTACTCGCAATCCCTTCCTATAATATTCCATACTCTTGGCAACAAGCCACTGTAATAACACTTATGATGGGAGCCAGATTTTCATGGGAAAATCCCGCATTGGAGTTAATCCTCATGTAATTAGTACAAAGCATGTGACTAGCCGTCGCTTTGTACAATACGTCACGACTTACTGACGTACAAAAGTGAAGAAACAACTCGATTCACCGCTTGATTAAAAGCGTCCTAACCAAGTCAACATTTACGGCAGAATAAAAACCAATCAAGTAAGTATACCCTTGCAATAGGCATGCACAGGCATAATGTGGCTGCAATTTCTCGCCAACATGCTTTCATGAATTGCGATGACACGAGACCTTTGTCGAATCAAAATAAAGTTCGTAGTCAGCAGCAAAGGCCACAACTTTTCCGCAGGGTCTCTCGCTTCCTAAAACGTACCTCTTCAAGGCGCCGTTTGAACCACTGCTCCTCAAAACCCGCGTTCCTGCTGTCGGAGAAATCGGCTCTGAATTTCCACACTCCGTTCACTTCCTTGACCTCCCGGGACGGCGATTCCTTGGGGAAGAGCATCCCCCCTGCGACAGCAGAACAGAGCCTCCATGCCGAGAACATTAAGAGCGCAGGGAAGAGTACAACCTTCATCTTCTCCTCCTCCTCCTGCACGACAGCATCTCCCAGACCAGACTCGCTACCAGCGGCTCGGGGTGTCACCTGACCGCCCGGTCACGTGAGGGGCAGGCGTGAGGAAATGCCGTCTTCCTCCGACAGCGGACCGAGCGACTTCTTTGCGAGTTAGGGAGTCCTGGGCGGATGTTCAGACTCATCCTGTTTCCGACCTTCACTTGTTTGTCCAGCTGTGCAGCCCCGTGCTGCGCAAGTAACAAAGTTCATGTTCGTGTTATCATGTTGCGACAGAAGTATCAGTCCTGTGCCTTAGCCGTGCACTAGGTGGCGACAGAGATCACTGCATAGAAAAGAGTGCGCGCTGGTCATTCACACACTATATGATATTATTTTGGCACTCCACAGATTGAATTTTCATGCTTTTTTTTCCCCAGCATGCTCCACTTAATAAAGAGAAGGTTTGGTTATATTCTAATAATTGCATTTTGTTATGTTTAACTCAGACGCTAGTCGAAAACAAGAATGTATTGCAATTTCAATGTGAAAGCAGAATCCGTCATCTCATCCTCTGGGGCCTCACGCGGTCGGAGCTGTGAGGAAACCAGCTGTTTTCCAGACTCCAGGTTTGCACCGAATATATCAGGTCAGTTCACCTTTTTTTCCCACGCACACCCCCACTAAAAAAAAAGGGAGACAAAAATTATTATACATGCCTTATAATATTGCAATCACTTTGTGTGGCAAAGGTAGCATGGATATTAGTTATCACCTGTCCAGTTCTAGAGCTTCATTGTTCTGTCCACTGCCAAGTGTTAAAGGAGATTGTTCTTTGGTGCCGGTTTGACTGGGAAACGTGGAAAGGAAACCGTGTAACAAGAAGTTCTAGTTGTAGTCCGGAAGGTGGAGCTCTTTCCTGTGAAATACAATTTCCAAGCTAACGCCTTGATGAAGCCGAGTCACCACAACTTAAAATTAATGTTTTGCAAACATTTGGGTATTGAACCCTGTATCAAGGCTATCCCAAGCATAACTTAGAAATTTTACCAAACGGATCTCTGTTAAAGGTATAAGAATCTTGAACGAAAAAGTATCAACATTCTGAGTACGCATTTATGAAGTATTTTACATTCTTTCACATGTCTTATAAAGTTTATTTTCTTCCGGTTGTTTCTGATAATACTTCGAAGTGCTTCGTGAAAATGAGTGCATTCATTGCCCTTTCTTACAGATGCTTTAATGAACAGAATATTGGGGTTTCCAGTTATTTTAATTAACCTTTCCATTTTCAAAGCTTTTACTGGTGAAGTCAGGGCCTTCAAAACAGACATGCAAGTCTGGATTTTCAGTTTATTCACCCCCAGTAAAGTTACTCATTTAGGCTAGTAAAGAGTTAACAAAACACTTTGTTTTACAGCCCGTACTGTCCTTCTGTCCTGGTCTATTGAGTTTTTAACATTTGACAAATTAGGCGTTCTGTTCTCTTTGATTAATCAATTCGTAAAAGCGTGAACACGTGTTCTTTAAAATGCTGATTTCTGTGTTATTTTACTCCTTCTTTATTTATGACCTTTTCGAATACTGTTCTTTTTCTTTCTAATGGTTTATACTTAGTACCTTATCTATGAATTGACTTTACTTCATAAAGTGTTTAAATTAAAGTCTGTTGCCCGTTAATTATTAAGATTGCAATGCTATTTTAAACCGAATGTGGAGATAAGAACTCCGTTGAGCTTTATAGCGTGCAGAGATTTGCCTTGATCTTTGGTGCTCTGGAGTGCAGACTGTTTGAACTCATTTAAAACCTGTTGAAACGCAGGCTCAGGTTTCAATATTTTGTAATAGGAGGTAATAGCGATTGTATTCCAGAGACAATTGAATGCATAAGACTTGGCAATACATCCAATAAGTTCAAGGTTAACTTGGCTATTCTAAATTCAAGGTATTTATCTAAAATGATTAACACCCATGGCATTTATATGAAGGGTAATGTTAGGGAAATTCAGGGAAATTTACTGACTTTATTTTTCTGTTAAGTGGTTGTTAATTCAGGGCAACATGGTGGCACAGTGGCACAGTTGTTAGCATTGCTGAGACCCCGGGTTCAATTCTCGGGGTGCTGTCTGTGTGGAGTTTATATGTTCTCCACATGTTCGTGTGGGTTTCCTCTGCATACTCTGGGTTCCCCCCACAGTCCCAAGGCATACTGGTAGGACTGGTAGGTTAATTGGCTTCTGGATAAATTTCCCCTGGTGTGAGTGTGCGTGTGTTTGTGTCTGCTTGAGTATCCTGCCCAGGGTGCACCCTGCCTTGCGCCTGTTGCTTGCTGGGATAGGCTCCAGCTCCCCCGCAACCCTGTATTGGATGAAACAGAAAATGGATTGATGGAACAGTGGGGGCTATCATTACAATCACTCCAAACATTTCAGCTGCTATGTAATAAAATCAGACTCTTTGGAAATCTGTCAATTAAAAAGTGAACCCGCTAGAGAGAAGCTCTGTAAACCAAGGGGCCGAGATGTGACAAAAAACGTTCAACACAACAGGTGACACAGGTGAAGGTAAGGCAGTCTTACTTGGCAGGATCTTGCGATAATACTTTACTGGAAAAGTGCTTTCACATTCATGCTGTTCACCTTGGCTCTGTCCATTGATAATTCCATATATCCCCTTGGTGAGATTTTGTTTCTTTACGTAAAGTTATTAACTTTTATCAAAATCGTATGTCTATTTGACTCGATTATGGAACTCAAAACGTAGCATGAAGAGGAGGAAGAGAAAGCTACTAATCGTGGTTCTGACACAGTAACGGTTATATTGAAAATGCAGCTATACCATTCCTGAGTGCCTTCCTTACAGCACGGGATTTAGATTAGGATCAGTACAGATTGTAGGGCAATCAGGTGTTGCATTATCAGTGCTCATTGCCCTTGACTGGGCTAAAGCAGGAAGCAGCTTCATATTTGACACAAATATGAACGACACTCATAAACAGGAACCCTTTTAAAATTTAAATACAAAGCCAGAAACCTGGAATAATATTGCACTCTTAAAAAAATCAAACTGTTAGATACTTGCTTGACTATATATTAATTCATTTCAGGATTTCCGTATTAGAAAGTCATCCAAAGTTTGTAGGTAAAATAACTAGTACTTGCAGAGTTTTGGGTGTGTCCAGTACTGTTCAGAGCCACCCATTCCTGCCTTTAAGTAAACAGATGGACATTTCCATACATAAACCATATTATGGATCCAGTTCCCAGGGTGCTATCTGTGTGGAGTTTGTATGTTCTCCCTGTGTTTACAAGGGTTTCCTCCATGTGCTCCAGTTTCCCCCCCAGAGTCAAAAGACATGCTGGCAGTTTAATTGGCTTCTTGGAATTGGCCCTGGTGTGAGTGTGTGTGTCTGTGTGTGATCTGGCATGGACTGGCATCACAACTAGGGTGTGCCTTGTGCCCACTGCCTTGTTAGGCCCTCACTCCCTCTACAACCCAGAGGATCATTAGAGAAAAGATGGAAGGAAAAATGGGAGCTATCATCAGAATCAAATTAAACTGTTCATCGGTTGGCTATAATATTATCATAACTGTACTGTACAGTCTTATCTGATTCTTCACTTTCTCCTCAAGGTTAAACATCCTGTAAAAGGTCACTTATAAATAGGTATTCAAATTTGTCATCTTCACTCAAAGTGAAGAGACACTGATAAACCTGGCAGCGTGGTGGGACAATTGTCAACCCTCTGTGCTCTGATAAAGGTAAACGCCTCTAGCAACCATGTCATTGATCTGCTGACGCAAGCAGCTGCTGGTAATTCAGTATTCAGAGCTAAAGAAAAAGAGGTTTTTCTCATATCTTCCTTGTTCCCCTGAGATAATGTGACTGCTTAAATTATTAATGTCACTCACACTGAATAATGTATAGCAAGTGATCAAAGAACTACAGTCTGATCAATGCCTTGTAGGGTCCCAACCCCCACCGTCCAGTCTTTCATCTGCAATCTTGCACCAAATCATTTGGGATGCGTTACAGAAATAGGCATAAGCACTGTTTTTTTTTCTTTTTTTGTGTCCTCATTGAAAGAATTCTGATGCATCACAATGATCGTGATCCACTCACTTCAGTACGATCTTCTTGAATTGGGTAATGGGGTGCAAAGGAGCTCTCAAGCATTCTCTTTATGAAGAATACGTTTCCATCAATCTGTATTTGCGGCCAACACTCCAAGAACAAAAGGTTCACTTGTTCAGCCTGGGAGCCTAATGTCAGCCACACCACATAGCTGTCAGGAGTAGGTTCCCTGAGAAACAGGGCCTTTTATCAGGTTGAGCCTGCTTCAATAGAATAGAATGCTTGAAAGTCACAAGAGGTGTGTATGTGCGGCATTACTGCAAGCTGTGAACACATCTCACGCGCTCTCGGAAACCTCCCCTACTTCAAAAAGCACTAGCAGATACAGATCTGCATCTTTGACGGAATGGAGTTGTATTCTTTCTGCTGAGCAACTATTATATGAACAATGAATGGAGTTTTGAAAGGAGCTGTTGAAAAATGCCGTGCTCCTTCAGTGGTGTGTGTGTGTGTGTGATGCTAGAGCTTAATCAGAGACGGGGTTCACATGTCCTGAAGGAAATGAATTTGCTTTTTTTCTTTTTTTCCACCACACTTCACGGCCAGGTAGTTTCAGCGATCCAGAGGAAAACCCAAATCCATAAAAACTCCACTGATGAGCACATGAGAGACTGCTTGCAGAGCACACCTTGCTGTTAATCTCTACCATCAGTAAATCACAAAGAAGGCATGACTATTAAATGCAACACAGTACAGTGCAGTGTGTGGTAAACAGACCAGGGCAGGACAGTAAATGATTATGAGAAAGAAGATTAGTTTTATAACTGGTATCACGATGTTGTAAATCATAAGCTTCTTCTCTGTTGGTTATCACTCTGGGAGTGGTGTGGGATGCCATAAAAATGATGACCAGGCAAGACAATCATATCTGACAGCAGTCCCTCTTTACTCCCTACAAGCTCAGGATCTGTCTGTCTGTGTAAATTCAAATTACTGTACCAGAGGGGACGCTTTGCAGATGGGCATTTCTCATCCATCCCAGGTGCTTACTGTGTACTTCCTGGTATAAAAAAGTAACTCTGGGGTACGCAGCAAGTACGCTTCGAAATGCCCATTATCTGCAGAGCAGGGTTGAGCCACACCTCAAAACCACCCCAGTATCTGTGACTAAAAAAGAGGCAGAGAGGTCAATAGGCTTCAGAAAGTGAAGGATCCTCTCAGATCCTACGATGATGCATCTTAATAGTGAAGCAGATGACTGCTGGGCTGGTGATGGGTGGTTGATTCTGTATGATGTCCTGTGTAGGCATTAGATTTTTTTTAGCACCACTGTTCAAACATCCACCAACCTCCAAAGCAAGCTTCTGAGCAGGAGAGGAGCTTCAAGGCAAATTTCCACAGGATGACCCCTGAAAAAGAATTAGAAACATGCTATCTTCAAGTACAGGAATAATAAACATTCTGTGTTCAAGTCTAGAAATTATAAGACCGCTATCATCGAGTACAGGAATTATAAGCACACTATCTTCAAGTGCAGGAAAACCAAGTGCTGTATATTCGTAGTAGATTCCTAA